CGCGCGCAAGGTCGCCGTCGTGCTCAAGACCCCGGTGACCGAGGAGACCATGTGCCAGGTCAAGGGCGGGATCCTCGTGACGCCGTGGCACCCCATCGCGGGGGACAGCGACGCCAAGGCATGGGGCTTCCCCGCGTACGTGACTCAGCGTAACGTGCGGTACACGGGCTTCGTGTACTCGGTGATGCTGCAGCGCGGCGATGGGAACCCGAGAGCCCACGCGCTGAGGGTCGGCGACGTGTGGGGGGTCACGCTGGGCCACGGGCTCGTCTCCGGCAACGACAGCCGGGCGCACGCCTTCTTCGGGGACTACCGGCGGGTCGCCAAGGCGTTCCTGGGCATGGGCATCGACAAGGCTGGGGTTGTGGTCGGGGCTGGTGTCGAGAGGGACAGGAGGACGGGTGTGGTATCGGGGTTTCGACAACCTCCCCCCTTGCTGGATCAAGAATGTGTCGTGTCATAAATTGAACCTAATATGAGAAACTCGACGAGTTACATGATATTCATTTGTAAATAGCAATACTTCTAACGATATCTCCGACACGACTGTTAACAATGCTGCCGACATTACTTACTCGAGATGGATCTCACAATAGCTTTCTTCAAATACGTAGTTTGATATGTTTCTAAGGAATTAATTACCATTCAGCTAGTATATACACGAATGCAGAGAATTTTAAATACCCTACTAAAATTATCCAAGAATTAGACCGAAACCGCTCAATGTAAGTTAATTACATCACATGTGTAGATTCATAGCATATACAATCATGAAACATCACCTGTCGAGCTCCATTGGCTTCTTGGTCCATACAAAGTCCAAAAGTCTAAGCACCTACTCGTGTCCAGAACTTTTACCCTTGCTTTCAACCGAAAGCATCTTTAGCAGCTCTTCTCGCCATGCCTTACTGAATCGAACAGCAAGCGGAACACAGGCTTGGAGTTCTGATCCAATCCTGACCTGGCCTGAATTGAAGAGCTTTTCGACCACGAGCCATGACCCATGCTGTGCGGCCGACCAGAGAGGCGTTCGACCATTGTCATCTCTCGAGTTGACGTCAACCCGGCCTGTCTTGAGGAGCATTGTAACTGTTATCAATGACTTGGGTGATCCTGCGGCCCAAGAGAGAGGTGTCCGGCCAGTGTTGTCTCTTGATTCGATATCAGCTCGGCCCGTGTCAAGGAGCACATCAACCACACTCTTATGGGACGCCTTTGGCCAAGAATGAGGAACCCACTCTCCATTGGTAAATTGACCCCGTAGATGAGACGATGCTGCAGCCCACGACAGCGGCGTCCGGCCAGTACTATCCCTTGAGTCGATCTCAACTCGGCCAGTATCAAGGAGCATCGTCACCAGTTCGTTTCCACCATCCGGCATTGCACTAGCCCATGATAGAGGCGTACGGCCAGCATTGTCTCTCGAGTCAGGCTCAGCCCGGCCCGTATCAAGCAGTAGTTTAGCTGCGTTTATATTTGCCGAAATTGCAGCCCACGACAGAGGCGTTCGACCAGCGGCATCTCTCGAGTCGACCTCCACGTTGTGGGTATCGAGAAGTAGCTTGGCTATTTCTATATCACGAGAACATATAGGTCTTTCTGCTGCCCATGAAAGTGGCGTGCGGCCAGTGTCATCTCTTGAGTTGACGTCAACTTGCCCGGTATTGATAAGTAGCCGAGCGACTTCTGAAGACCTTCCTTCTGCATATGAAAGTGGTGTGCGGCCAGTATTATCTCTCGAGTCGGCCTTGACTTGACCGGTATTGAGAAGTAGCCTGGCGATTGCTACAGACCTGCGCTTTGCTGCCCATGAAAGCGGTGTGCGGCCAGTATTATCTCTCGAGTCGGCGTCAACTAGGCCGATATCTAGAAGCAGCCTGGCAACTTCTAGCTGCCAATATTGTGTTGTCCACGAAAGTGGCGTGCGACCACTATTGTCTGCCCACTCAGCCTCGGCTAGACCGGTATCAAGAAGTAACTTGGCAGCTTCTTGAGATCCACATCTTGCCGCTCTTGAGAGGGGTGTCTGGCCAACTTCATCCCTTGTTTCAACGTCAACTTGACCGGTGTTAAGAAGTAGCTTAGCGACTTCTAGAGATCCATGCTCTGCTGCCCAAGAAAGCGGCGTGCCAATTCGGTCCTTCAAGTCATAGTACGCTTCTTCAATAGGGAGGCTTTTTGCCACCGTCCCATACCCATGCTCGTCATTGTGTAGCAGAGGTGGATAATGACAATTGCTTGTGCCAGGTTGGTGTAATGCTGCATCGCCACAAAGAGGAGAGGCCAGGAACAAGAACAAATTTTGTAGGTCAAATCTGGCTATAAGATGCATCAAAGTCGTCTTCGGTGGAAAACTTTGAAAAACAGCCGATTTCCTCAACAGTCCCAACAAGTTCTGAAGCGGGCTCTCGTTTGGCCATTGTACTACATCGAGAAATTCTTTTGGAAAACACCGCGCATATTGCCCAGGAATCGCATGGAACGACCAGTTTTTGGCCGCATACTCAAGAAGCGGGGGTTTGAGCAATCGTCTCCCAAAAAAGCCCGGGTCATTACAGCATACATTCATAAACTGGATGCATACTAGGGACATGCGGCAGTGAGCAGCTGCAACAATCTCATTTGGCTCTCCCCGATCAAGAATAGCCAACCCCAGATCAACAAAGAATTCCTTCACCGACTGGTGAATAAATTGGGCAGTTCTAGAGCTGACCTCCACAAGCCCACAACTCAGAGTCTTGATCCTGCTCTCAAACCGATCGCTTGAGATGAAACTCTCAGATGCGCAGTACTCTTCGAAAGTCTTCAGTGGAGACTTGGGATCAACAACCAGAGCCCACTGTAATTGATTGATATTCAAGGGGGTTGCAGAGAAACAAAGCCATTGGATGAGTCTCAGCATTGCGGGATGATCCTTGCTGCTCTTGACGAGTTCCTCATAGAATGGATTCAAGTCCGGTGGTATACGAGCTATTTCAGCTTTCATTTTAGCCATCGACTCGCCTTCAATTGCCATCCGTGAAGTTTCTCTCACAACCAGCATGGCCCACAGGAAAACTCCTCGCGCACGCCCAACAATCAGACCGAAGAGTTCGTCATTTGAACTATTGTTGTTGATGAGCAGACTCCTCTTGACGAATATGGAAATATCTTTATAGTTTTCTTCCTCCAACACTACTTCTAACCCACCATTACCTGGAATGATAGGGTAATGGCGGCAAGAGAAGCAAATACCAAATTGGCAGCCCTTTGAAGGTAGATGCTGGAGAACCCTTTGGAAGTATTCGATTAGGTCGAGGGCAGGTCTTTGGCCGCATTCATCTAATGCATCGATGAAAAAGACGATGGGGAACCTTTCCAGGACCCTGGGAAGCCCTAATTTCAGAAATTCTTGGAGCGGTTGGAGGTGCCAGTGCCAATTCTCCCCCGGCTGACCAATTGACATTCGTTTCGTATTAAAGGTATCAACTAGATCTTTCAACAAACCGGGGAAAAGTTGGAGAATCTGGTGCAAAATGGATCGGAAGAAGCCAAGCAGAGATTTCTGCAGCTCGTGACCCCGGGCATGGAAGAAGAACGAGAAAACCTGGGTCTCAGGCCCATAGACTTTGGAGAGTCTCCTAAGTGCGTACTTTATAATGGTAGACTTGCCTGATCCAGGCTTTCCCTTGATCCACAAGAGACCTCGGTGCTGCTCCCTCCATTTGACGAAGTTTTTATGACTAGCAAGCCATTCACAGGTACCATCAGATTCCTCAATGATAGTATCAAGTCGACTATCCATTGCCTCATAGGCCAAAGACCTTAAACAAGCTTGATGCGTTTCTGAACTAGGGGAGTATAGGTCTAGGCTGTACCATTACTATCAATTCTCCCGAGATAGGGACCTGGCATACATACCAGACTCAGCAAATCTTTGCGAAACCTGTTGTTTTGTTTCCTCGACTAGTTGTCTTAGTCTCTCTTGGACTACGAAATATCCAACATCATTTCTGGAGCTGAACTTGACGAGCCCGGAGTGGTCAGCGTTGATTGGGATTTTATCTTCGCCGGCTGTAGCCACTATTCCGATGTTGGTTGCTGATTGTTCCGTTACCATCAAACATCTCCGACCAGTTTTCGACCACCCCCCGGTTTTATTACGCTGGAAATAATGTTAGCTTTATAAATGAGCATTGCTGACAGGGCAGTGCACCTCCAAGGTCGGACTAAGTAACCGCTCGTAGAGAGTGACGATGTGGTAATATCCCTGAAAGTTTTCGGCAAATTGTGCTGTAAGTCTTTTCAGAAAGTCCGACGCTTCTGAATCATCGTCCACGAGGAGATCATTGATAAAAGCTTTATTAGGTTGACCGTCGACAAGTGTTCGTAGCTGCTCGTTCCGAAGGCCATGATTAGGCTTGCCGAAGAAAAGGATCCCAAAGGTAGCTCGAGAGATAGTAGGTTTTGTCTCCCCAAATTTTCTTCGGGAAAGGAGAAGCGCCTTCGAAAGTAAGTAAAGTCCTTTGTGATGGGTGCCGAAGGACTCACCTCTTTGATCAAAAGGCCACCCAAACTATGACCGATGAAAATGATCGGGCGGCTGAGAGTCTGGGGAAGGTTAGGTGGGCATCAACTTGGGATAACAAAAGATAACGGACTTGAGTTTTGGACCGAAAAGCAGTGACTGTTTCCATCAAAGCATTGCCTAGATCAGCGAGAGATTGTTTAGAATGGCTGCCCGGCAGCGTAGTATCGTATCCATAAAGAAGAACTCTTATGTTGGACAAGTCATGGGGTAAGAAATCGCGTAGCCAGATCTTATTCGTCTTGCTATTTCTCCATGAACCTATTGCATTGCATCCGAGGCCAGGAATCACGATGATGCTAGAAGAGTCAACACGGTTGGTACCTATACGGTAATAGAAAGCTAGGACGTACTCAACGTCTACGCGGCTTGGGTCCTCGTAGAGCGGGGTGATGTCATCGAATGTGCACGAAAAAGTGTAAGAGTGCTTGGTGAGAGCTTTTTCTAGCAAGATGCATAGCTCCTCAGCAGAGAGAGCTGAAGTGATTGAAACCGTAGCACAGCTGGAGCGATCATCTCGCGGCGTAATAGAGTTGCAGCAGATTGGAGTAGGAACAGCGTTTTTCAATGCCTGGTCCTGGTCGATAATGGTCTGCAGATTACTGGCAAGAACGCCAGATTCGTTTGTGGGGATATCGTCAACTCGCAAGGTCCAGGTTTCAGACCGTGATTGTTTCCTGGAGGGTTGGCGGAGAGGTCCTGTGAGTCCCCATGCGATGATGACTATTGTCACCAACGTCATGAGCAACTTCACGTCGAACTCCATGCTGACTTCCTCGATCGTTTAGAAAAAGGGCAAGAATCCATGTTCTTGTTGAAAGGGGAAATTCGATAGCTGCAGGTTGACCAACGAACCAACGAGCCAATTTGGGGGCTGTCTGCTGGTGTTACACCCATGTAGTCAGCTGCCCACGTGACGTTGATCTCCTGCAGTAGCATTGCATTTGACCAATAGATTGAACAGAATGAAAGGATGTGTGTGATTAGGCTTGACTTTGATCTGAAAACATAAGAAATAAGTGGGATCTCTGTCCAGATGGTGCAGCAAACTTGGGTGGAAGAAGGTTTCAAATTTCATAATGGTTCGAGGGGAAGTCCACACATCAACAAGAATACCTACTTCTGTACACAAGATAGACTTTTGGGGGTGCTATATTGTGTTTCCATGCTTCCAGTGGTTGTTAGGTGTTTTATTGAGCTGTGCAGTTAGTAGCCAAGTGGAGAGGAAGGTGCTCCTGCCTGCTTTCTCAGCTCCAGCTCACAGTATTTCTTCTCGCCTTAGCTCTTCATCCACCTACACATTCTTTCTTTCTCTCTCCCTTAACAAAACAAATTGAGCTCACTGACTTCATTCTCACTTTGCGCTTTCTACGCCGTTATCCACAACCAAAGTGGAAATATACTCTTAACTCATACCCCTTCCTTCTCCCTCTCAGTAAATTAGTGTTTGGTGTTTTTTAATTCTTTTGACCTGCTATCTGGATTATCCAGTATAAAAGCACCCAGACCATCAAACTGGACCGGCCGGGACTCCCCGCCTCCCCCATGGATTGCGAAAGCTCTGAAAGCCCTCAGCGTTTTGCCTGGCAAACATGTGCCACTCCTACCGAAGATGCCGAGAGCTTGAGCATTAGAGAGGATGCAGTAGCGAAAGCTGAGGCTCATGCTGCCAAGCTGATAAGCTGCCTAGAAGATCACATCGATGGTCAGAGTACAGATTCGAAAAATGTGATTAAATCTATTCTCAACAGCCTATGTATGTCCATCTACAAACCTCAAAGAGATACCCATGACATGGCTAATGAGAACTCTGCTAGTTTCGATCCGGGAAGAACACAAGGGCTTCGAGATGCTCGTGGGGGTCGCTGGAGCCACAGGCGCAGGGAAGTCATCCATGCTCAATGCTCTTTTGGGATTTCGTGAAATATTCCCTTCAGGGCATCAGGGAGCAGCTACCGCGGTGCCATGCAAGGTGGCATGGAACTTTGACGACCGCCTCGGCTACGAGTGCATCGCTAACATATACTTCCAATCCAAAGAGGAGGTGATGAAGACTCTTGAGATTCTGGTTGAAGCATTCATCTCTCGGGACAATCCGGACGAGTCTTCGTTTCAGAGCGACAAAGAAAAAGAGGACAATCTTGAACAGATGCAAAGTGAGATAAACAAGGTCATGGAAAAGGTCCGAGCTGTGTGGAAGCTTGAAGAAGAAGATGTGCAGCATATTATCGACAGCACGTGCTCAAAAGTCACATCGAGCGCAAACTTCATCTTCGATAGCAACCCCGCGGTTGGTGAGCTTTTGAAGTTATCGATGAAGCCTGTCCACGCATCCACCCCCGAGGAGCTGGCAGGCTTGACCAAACCATACCTTGATTCGACCGAGGCCTCTCATGGGCGTGGTACAAATTTTGCTGCTTGGCCACTTGTTAAAGAGGTCAGGTAATTTTTGAGAGTTTCGCTTCTTAAGAATGGAATATGCTTGGTCGACCTCCCTGGACAGGGAGAGATGGAGGCGAGCAGGGCAGAGGTCGCCCAAAAGTACTCAGACAAGCTCGACGTTACCATGATCGTCGCCCCAGTTCATCGGGCTGCCGATGAGCGTATAGCGCAGAAGCTTCTGAATAAGTTTCATTCACTCCAAATGGAGATGGACGGGCGCCTCAACAAAGAAAAGTTCTCCGTCATTCTTTCTAAAACTGATCAAATTGAGGCCGATGATTATACAGCCTTATACGGAAAAGACGAAGAAGTGCAACGCTTGAAGAGAGCGATGCAAATTGCCCGACAGGAAAAGAGGAAAAGACCCAACCGCCGAAGACAAAGAAAGTTGCAATCACGGGCCAAAGATCTAATGAGACATTTCAAGAAAGCTACCCAGAAAAATGAAAAGATTAGGACCGAGAAAAAGGACCTAGTCATTGATCAGAAGCCGAAGAAGACAGAATTACGAGGGAAAAGTATGAACTTTAACTCGTCTGTTAGTAATAAGTTGCTCGCGAGAGCATTATTGAGGAAAATCAAGGCATGGAAAGAGCGTGCCAAGAAAACCAATAAGCAAGCGGACCTTGAGATTCAGAGGCTTGATCACCAACTGAGTCATTGGGCCATCTGGAATAGAAACCGTCATGTGGGTGAGCGTATAGAACAAAGCTTCCAGAGGCAGAAGAAACGAAGTAACTCTCGGGGACCCAGTGTCTCCAGAGATGAGACCTTGGGAGTAACAGTCTTGGGCATTAGCTCCACTGCATACTGGCAGCTCCAAAATCAAAAAGGGGCAAGACTCGGGTTTCCCCGAGAAACTTTCACTGGGATCCCGGGGGTAGTACAATGGATGCATAAGGCTATATCTAGGTCCAGAGAGAAGCACCTGCTTTTGATATTGAACAAATATCTTGTCGTCTTCAACAAGCTGCAGGCATGGACGAAGAATCCAAATAAGTCAGATCCGGTCATGGACAAGGCTGAAATCGAAGATCGACTCAACCAATCTCACCAGAATTTTTTGAAAGTAAGTGGTTCTGTTTAGGAGTATACTCTGAGACCTTGACTACGAGCTAATCCGGTCCCTAGGATCTGGAGAGTATTTTCGACACTTTATGCAAGAAAATTGAAGCGTTCGACACTCTAAAAAACATCCACCCAATCAAATTCAAATTTAAGAGGGAGAGCGAATATATTACTGAAACCTGGTCTTTCAAAGACCCAAAGTCCCCATTTCGACGAACAATACACTGGTCAACCTACAGAGCGATAGTTGCTCGGGGAGGGTATTGGAAGCATCACGATGGTATTGAATACAATTGGATTTTGGATTTGTAAGTATAACTGCCAGCTGTCAGAGTGGGAACCCAAACTAACCTTCTGATAGGGCGACACCTCTGCTCGAAATTCTGAAAGAGAACTGGCAGGGAGTCTCCAAGGAATCATTGTTGAGGCTACGAACTGACGTAGAGACTAAAATCATCGACGCTTGGAAGGGTGATGCAGCAGAGAAAATCGATTGGAAGCTCAGAGAACAGCTCATCGGCATCCTCCCTGAAATGACGGCAATTGGCACTAGTCTATGTAGTCAAATGAGCTCCCTATTGGATGACTTTGCCAAAAAGGTCAATGGCTTGCATTGTTTGATCGTTCCAAATATAGAGAACGCGCTCAGGCCTGTCTTGAACGAGGCTCTGCAATTCCAAGGTAAGCATCTTGGCCACCGTTCTGACAACTTATACTAACAAACCTCTTTTTATCATGATAATTAGGCCTTGGATCGCACGCCATGCGTCAACATTTTGTGGCAGAAAATGTTCCTCTGCAGTGTGAACGTTTAGTTCCAATGCTGTGCCAAAGCATACGATTTGCATTTCATGGAAGCCTGGCAGAGGTCAAAAGAGACTCGATGAAGAAAGCCCTTGAGGCGATTGAAGAGGCCAAGGCCCAGTTCAACATCCACGCTAGAGTTCTGTCTAACAACGGGCTATCGGCAGGCGAGTTGAGTGAAAGTTGCCAAAAGATCCTGGGGATGTGGCTGGCTGATTAGGAATCGCCGGGCAAAGACTTGGATCACATCTTGAAGCAAGACGTCTCAATCCCCAAGAAAGTGACCATTGAGCATATAATGAGCATGGAAGAAGCTTATAGAAATTTATTCGGCGATGGGCCGATGGCTCAAACTGATTCAGAGGAGAGCGAAAGCGAGAGTGACAGCGATAGGGACAGCGACGCCCCTAGCAGCGAGACGAATCAGGACGAGGAGATGCCGCTTGCGGACGACGTCTCGATGGAAGATCTGGTAAAGGAACTGAAGGATTTGGAGAAACAACTAAAGAAACATTAGGATCTGCCCATCCAGGATGTTCTAACACTGACACATGAGCCAACAATTTCCTTCGCTACGGCATGACACTAGGCGTTCACAGCCGCCACATTGATATCAAGGAGCAAAAAAAGACACGAATTTCAGGAAACGTATTAAAGGAGTTATCATCGATCACTATCAGGCATCCTTGGGTCATCCTTACTGTGACCAAGGCTCGTTGGTCGATGGAAAATCATGGTCGCATTTCACTTGGCTAGCCAACAAAAGTTATTCATTTACATCTTCATCCAAACTAAAGATATTTTGGTTTTCAATTGATGGATACCTGCTCTAGAGCTACTGGAATAGTTGGGATATTCACTAGAATAGCTAGAATTCCCATCGGGATAGTCAGAATACCCAATTTCAACCGCTGATTTCTCTTGCAAGTAGATTCCCACACGTTCAGTCTAGGTTAGTATTTTGGCCCACGCCCCCATAAACCCGCGCCAGCGCCGTAAAGTGATGAGACAAGACTTGCTCCCATGGTGATCACAGCCCGCTGTCATGATAGAGAATTGATACTATATGAAACCCTTGACCCTCGAAATTAAAATTGTTCCCAATTACCTCGCGCGTTGGAGGTCCAGATAATTCCTTACATCCGTCTCATTTTGGTCCTCTTTTCAAGGTCGCCACTTTTCACCGACTGTACTGTATTCCCAGCCCGAACCGTGGCTCCTTTGGGCCGTCCACCCTCGTCTTTTTGGGAGGACTGCCCTGCTCGCGCTGGATCTCATCCTGTGAGCCGCTGTACGAACCGTTAAACTTGCGCTTCTCGACGCCGCTGTGCATATCTGCCAGTAGCTTTGCTTGCATCACGCCAGATGACCGCTCGACGGCTCCATGGACACGTTCCGGCCCCTGAGATTCCTGTGAGGTCCTCACCTCGAAACTCTGTCTGGGATCACGACGTAGCATCTCTGTCGCTGCCTGGCTGGCTTCGCTGTCAAACACGTCCGGATCATGGCCCTCGTGGCTTCGTTGAGAGCCGTTGCTTTGTGGCGGTAAATCAAAAGACCGGCTGGCCTGGCTCACTCTCAAAGCTTGGCGGGCCAGCTCCTCTGTGTCCTCCCCGTCGACAGAAATGGTGCTCTCACGGCTTTTCCGCCGTTCAGGTCTTGAGGTAGTGGGTGTGGCTGGTTGGTAATGTCTCACAGAGTATGATTTAGGGGGCTCGGTCAGGGGTACCAGACTTGCAGATGGAAGAAGACCGGGACCCCGGGGCCGGCTGATGGGAGTGGTAGGTAGGGAGGACAGGGACTGCGCATTCCGTTGATGGCGGCCGACCGGACGGGCACCGATCGAGCGCGTGGGCACGAGCGGAGTCGAGGGAGCACTATTGTTGTCTTGGCTCATAGCTTCAAGAAGGGTAGAGAGGCCGCGCGAATCTTCTGTAGTCAACTGCCTGGGATTGTGACGATGAACTCGGTGCTGAGAAGGTGACCCGTGCTGCTTCGGGGTCAGAGCACCATGGAATATGCCACCAGGGCTGCATAGCTTGTACATGTGTTCCCGGTTCTCGCGGATGCGGGTCAAGAGCTGGTCTCGCTCGTCCGATGCGCTATCCAGCTCCTCCTCCTTCTGCTGGATAATCTTGGTGGCCTTTTTTAGTTGTTTCATGAGCCCGTGAGCCTCGCCCACGGCTGCCTCGTACCGCTCTTTCATGTCCATATACTTGGTCTGCATGGTGTCTGAGAAGGTGCTCAATTCGCGCTTCGCTTGCCGTGAGTGCTCTGCGGCGCGGAGAGCATCAATCTCCCTCCGAAGCATCTCGTGCTCAACCTCAGCTCGTGCAGCGTCGTCCTCGGCCTGCAGGTGGAGCAGGTTGTACTGCAATCTATAATGTGCCGTCTCCGTCTTGAACCGCTGGTGCTCGGCAACACAGGTCTGGAGCATATGTCGTAGCTCATCGGTGGTTGCATCGGCAATCTCCTGAGGCTCAGGGAGTACATATTCAGAGCCCGAATCTCTCTCCTTGAGAATGTTCATAATGGTAGCAGGGGGTGAGACGAGATTGGACTGCTGTGATCGCGGTAGGGTCCACCGCGAGTTGTTGCCATTGACAGGCTCGACCTGGGTAGAGGGCGGCGGCGTCAACGACGATGGGATGATTGTGTTGTCTAACCTATCATCGTTGACCTCGGTTCGAAAGGACTGGTTCAAGTCGATAGGGGAAGCTGGCACCTCTGTAGTAGGCAGTGCCGTCTGGGCCAAGTCACGGGGCCCTTCGTCCTGGGGGGTGGAGGGATCTTGTGAATTGTCGATGTGATTGATGCCATTCGTCTCATTGAGTCGCTGGGACTCGGACTTGATATCGACAGACATGGTGGGAGATAGGTAGGTGTGGATGTAGATATGGAGGAGGCCTGGATATGTACATATACTGTTTGCTCCTCGAGGCGAAATCGGCGCGGGGAACAGGAGGTCGTGGACAAAGATATGTCACACCACTGGAGCTCTAGAAAGATCGGTCGAGCAAGGCGGTGGATGCGGATCGGATGCCAACACAGCGCTGACGAGGAGGGATTGATTGGCCTCCGTGAATTGGAGTAGCCTCCTGAGGAGGGGGTTTCAGGCGCCGGGGTGGGAGCAGCACGCACATATATCGCAGGTCGCACAGGACTCGAACAGCCAATGCAGGATGCGCAGAAGAGAGGGCAGATTCAGAAAAATATCCTCCCAGCTCCTGGCCCAGCGCGGTGGGCAGTTGACTTGGTGTGCGATCTGGACTTGACGTTGCCTGGGGAAAGAAACTAGAGAGGCTGGTTAGCCAGCGACGCTATGCCGCAATGGGGGCCCGCGGTGAGCTGCGACCCCACCGGAAGCGTCGAAGCAATGGAACATTCAAAACTCTGACGGAGCCAGTGGCCGGGCTGGAGCGCAGTGGAGCGCTGTGGCTGCAGCATTTGCGCTAGGGGCATGGCTGCGGGTCGCCGGCCTGGCCATCCATCTCCAGGGCTCCAGTCGCTGCGGCCAGGGGTCCGTCCTTCGGCAGCCCAGCGGCGGCCTGATCTAGAACTTGCGTGCGCACGAAATACCACCTTGGATATAATAACTGCCGTCTTAACATGGTGGTTGGCACACTCGATGGCATGACATCCCGCCAGCTTACAACCTGGCTGGGCTTGAACGGGCGACTGCGAACCGGCTCTGACAGTACCACCTACAGTCTGACTTCATCCAACGACGTGTCCCGCCCCTTGCGTGGGAAGAGCTAATGCAAGGAAAAAAGAAACTTCCTGGCTCCAATAAGATCACGCCCCTTGACGTTCTCTTCCCTCGGTTCGCTCCAGCCAGTCGCGATGCATGAAAACGCGGTCTCGTTCGTGCCAAGGGGAACAACAACAATAGATGCAACATGTCCACGTTGTGAGCTAACAGCTGTCCTAAAAGCACCTCGGTCCAGGCTAAGATGAAGCTCCCAACGGCTCGACGCCCTGGCTTGAGTACCAATCGATTAATCAATGTATGCTCGTATTACAGCACCTCCAGAAAGCATGCAAGTCGTATCACGATTGCTTCGTGACTGGAACGAGCCACCACTCCTGCTCGTGATATCAAAACAATAACAACGCCAAAGCCATAGTCAAATCCATACCGCCCCACGAAAACGCATCAGGCCTGGGCACCGCCCCCGTCTCGCGAAAAGAAAAACCCCGTCATCCCCTGGGTCTGATCGTGACGCATTGACAAAAACAAAGCGGAATAGCACGGCACGGCTCGGCACCACACCACACCTCACCAAAGCGAAGAGGGATCTCACTTCGATGTCTTGCCCTCAGCACTGTCCTCACTCCCCAGCTTCATCGCCCCCCTCCGTCCTCTCCACGACCACCACCCGAATCCCCTCCCCCTCGCCCCCTTGCCCATCCTCTTCCCCAGGCCCGGTCCCGCTCCCTCCTCCAATTGCGTCGTCGTGGCAGCACCTCGCTCCCCGCCGCAGGACGCGCTCGCCCAGCCGATAACTCGCTTCCCCAGAACCATTGGCAGGATGACGGGCCACAGGACCAGCACTACCACCCACCAGGCGACCAGCCAGGCTCGGTCCCTCCTCGTCCCCAGCGTGTCCAGATACCACTCGGGCACCCACCGCCCGGCTCGCCCCCGGCCGTTGATGGACAGGACGCATATCATCCCGAAGAACAGCCACCCGAGGGCTGTGATGGGCGCGAGGACCCGGACGGCCGCCGTGTAAGGGTCCTGCTCGGTTGATGAAAGATCTGTGTCGGCCATGGCGCTCGTGGATGTTATGTCCCTCCGGCGTGTGGCGGCTGCCTCTGGTGTTCGTTCGCCAATGAGGGCCGAGTAGGTAGGTAGATCAAGGCTTGATTCCGTGAGTCGCGTAGTCAGACAGCGTGGATGATGTGATATCTTGAATACGAGTAGTGGTTTAATCAATAATCATCTGGCTAGCTCAAGGGGAGTCGTCTCAGTTTAGCTTGTAGTTCCGTCTTTCCCAAGGGACTTCTGAGATGGCCGCCACTTACTACGTAGTGATTGACTCCTTCTTCTCTCCAGGCTTGGACGTCATGTCACATCCCTTGGAAGGAGCAAACATCCGGCAGTGGCAACGGAATCATGGGAGAAAGTATTATTTTCAGTAGAATTACTATCAGAACAAGAGGGCTTGATGCACGATGATGGATATTCCCTTATTATTGTATAAAACCAGAATCCTTTTGTAGATTCTATCCGAATTTGGCCCCAAAACAGATTCGAAATATGGATTATAATATCAAGTGGCAATCAGGAAAACAGGGACTGCAAAGTCACCTCAATAGAATTTATGGTGGCAGTCAGCCACATTATAATGCTTCTTATTGTTTCATATTGTCTGATAGTAAGCAGATAATATTGCCTAATAGTTGCTCCAAAATTTATTATTACTATTATCATTAACTATTGTCTATCAATAACGTGGCTTTTATTGGAGGATCAAGACACATATGCAGTCTGTTATTCTGACACCCATTTGAATATATAGTATGTATGATTCTGACAATGATAACGCCTCCCAAGATGTAAAATTGCCAAGGGCTAAACTGCCCAAATGCTATGATACTCCTTTTGTATATACCCAAACCTCTTTCGCTGGATCCTTTGGAAACATGGTGTTCAACGCCTTAGTATGCACAAGGAATAGCTCCGGATGATTAGTTGATATCATCAAACTCATCCTCTCCATTCACGTTTCTCCATTCAGCAAGCTCTGCCGCAGACACTCGCCCGCGGAGCCATTGTAATGTTGCAGCGGTTCCACGTTCCAGAATATCCCATCTAGGAATCTTGAAGCGATTACCTGCTACCTCAAGCCTTTCCAAGCCCCCTGGGCCTCCAAGAAGTCCAATTCGGGGATCCAGACGGGCAATGTTGTTGCTTGACACGTCAACAATCTTGAGGCCTTGGACAGAGGCTGGTTCCAGCTCCGTGAGTTGATTGGTTGACGCAAGGAGAACTGACAGGCTAGGGAACGAGCCCTTCAGTGGCGGGAGAGCGGAAATACGGTTCAGAGACACATCAAGTTTTTCGAGCATGGGCGCCTCAAGATGTTTTACGAGAGAGTCAAAACCGACGATGCGATTGGAGGATAGATTGAGCTCTTTCAGAACTGGCAACCCCAAATGCTCATCAAGATATGCATCCCCCATTAGCTGGTTGCTAGCCAGGGATAGAGAATTGAGCGTCGAAGCAAACGAGTTTAGCGAGAGGGGGATGATGGCAAAAATGTTGTGATGAATGTGTACTTGTCTGATTTGGTTCTGTGCCGCGATTCTTACGCAAATCGCTGGTTGCAAGGTTGATGATTCAGTGTGAGATCGGTCAAGGAGCCCACCCTGCTTCACTGGCCAAACCTCGTTCGACTGCGTGTGAGCTCGAGACCTCATACTGGAGACAGTTTGGGACCGAGAGCGATTTGGCGAGTGTGGTGCAGATGTAGGAGGTGTCGCAAAGTCTTCTTCCCAGTCCGATTCTACATCCTCCTTAAGGATAGTAGAGTCAGGTACTCCTTGACTGGCAAGGGGGTCAATGACATTATTTTTGGCATCCGCGAGGACGTTCAAGATTGTGGGCTGTGCAGTCTCCGCCTCGTGATAAGGTGGCGGTGGCTCTAGCCGGGCTGCAAGCGCCTCTTTAAGCTCTTCTGTTGGCATAGAAACAAACTTCTTATCACGGAGAGGGTTGCCACTGAGTCTGATCATGGCCAAATTGTCCATTCGCGCAAGCTCGGGAGGGACAACGCGGATGTCATTGCTGGAGAAATCAGCTTGCCGAAGCTTCTCGAGACCAAAAAAGCTCTCAGGAATCGCTGCAATGTTATTTTCATCGGCCGTGAGCGCCAACAGGCTAGGCCATGAAACCATGTCGGGAAGCTCCTGGATACGATTCATCGAAAGAGTAAGAGTGTGTAGAACAGGGAACTGAAGAGCCGATCCTGTAGGCACGAGGTGTGTGAGTTGGTTACAGGCGATATCCAGTGTTTGAAGCTGCTTAAAGCCAATCGTTCCATCTGCAATCAGAGTCCCCTTCAAGTTATTCTTTTTCAGGACAAGCTCAGTCAACGGGAGCTTTTCTAACTCGTTGAATGGCAAGTTCTCTAGCTTATTCTCGCCCAAGTTAAGAATTCGCAGATTGGACATTTCATTGATGTTTTGGGGCAAGGCGGTGATGGCATTACCGTGAAGATCCAAAATCTCCAGCGCTGTCAATGATCCAAGAATCGGGCTGAGAGGTCCGCTTAGGTTGTTTTTTGCGATCTTAAGATCTCTGAGGGATGTGAGCTGACCGACTACTTCTAAGCAATCATTTGTGAGCCGGTTCGACGACTATGCCCACCATTAGTCCAATTCTCCACACCAAATAACACATTCCAGGGAAGAGAAAAGAAAAGCGACTCACAAGATTCAGAGAGGCTAAGCAACCAAGACGTCGGAGACCGATAGGTAGGCTCGTCAAGCGATTGCCATGCAGATCAAGTGTTTCCAAGCCAGCAAAGATGTTACCTTGACTTTCTTGTTCATCATCGAAATTGTTCGGGTCTACGTCTGGAAAGATCAGATCATCCAGTGTCTCAAAGTCATTGTCGGCCGCCACAACTCTCGTCAAGTCGACACTCTCGGCCCAGCTCCCATTGCCGGGGCCAATGTTGTCTAGATCATACATCTTCATCACCTCAGCGGGAAATTCCTTCAAGCCGAGGGCAGCAATATTCAATCTTCCGCTTGTTCTTCCAACGCCAACTCTTTGAGCAAGAACCTTTTTCTGCGGCTCTTCGCCTTTGTTCAGACCAAAAGGGTCACCGTGCATCAACTCGAAGTCAGGCTGATCGTCCTCTGGGATAGCCACTGGTGCGGCTGTTTCGGTTCCGCTAGCAGAGGCTGGTGCTTGCTTCAATGCCGCTCTCTTAGCGGCCTTTGCCTTGGCAATTTGATCGCGGAGCGCGGCAGACGATTTACGATGAGCAGGGATTTCCGTTTCTGCCGATGTGGCAGGAACTGGCGGGGCTATTGAGCCATCCCAGTTTCCTCCCAGAGACGGACCCTTGGAGGCTGTCCCTGAGTTCATCGTTGGTAAGGAAGGCTTCTTGAAAAGACTCTTGGCAGGAGTTTTCGGTTTGGATAATCGCCCGCTCACTGTCTTGGATGCACCACCTGGCGTCAGGCTACCATATGATTTCAACCCCTGAGCTGGCCCGCGTTTAGTGGGCGTTGCAACGGGCTCTACATGCGAAGGCCGAGCGGTACCGGAAAGCGACTGCCGCGAAGAAGCTTTTCTAAGCATTGGAGGTTTCCCGGGAATGGTGATCGAGGGGCTGGAGGAGGGTGTGCCATCAATAGTAGATAGCGGGGGCCTCATCGTGTTAAGAGAGGCTCTAAACCTTGACGGTGTAGGTTCTTCAAATCCCGCCCTGGATCCAGGCCGACTACCTGCTCTACTACCGGCGCGACTGCCTGCCCTAGAGGAGGATCTTGCAGAACCATCCGAGTTATAGCTTGAGCCCGGTCTTGAAGCTCCACTCCCGGTCCGCGATCTTTGTTTGCCTGAATCAAAGAAGGATGGGGCTCGATGTTTACTGACTGCTGGTGAAGACTGAATGTTGGCTAATGTTTCGATAGTCCTTTCGGAAAGCGATGGGCGAGGCCCGGTCCTGCGGGGTTTGGGGGAGCTCAATAGATCTGCAGCTTCGACAGGAGATTCTGAGGACAATGGATCACAGGAGAGTGAACCATCGATTTGGGAAGGAGATATTTGGTCAGACTTGGCCGAGGGCTCTGGGATAGATGGGGTATCAACCCCGGAGGTATGGGAGTCCCGCTGGCTTTGAACGGGATATGTTGGCGATATCGCCTCACTGGCGGCGCTCGTTCGGCGCGAAGAGGAAATCTTAGGCTTGCCCAACATCGAATGCCGATTCGTGCTATGGACAGACAATTGCTCGCGTGAGACTGAATTTCTCAATCCTAGAGGTCGACTGCCAGGTCCAATGCTGGAGCGAAGCTGGTCCCTGGACACCGATGTTCTCAGGGAGGGCCCTCTTGGTTCTGATGCCACGGGGGCTTTGACAGCAAGATTATCTCTTGATCTGGAGGCACGTATCGTCAAATTCGGGCGGGGTATCGTGGATGTCGGTTTGGGGATGTTTGACTGTGTGCGTGGCACTGGCAGCCGCGAGGGCCGCGGAATCCCGCTTGGTCGACTCTGAGTATCTTCCATGGTAAAAGTAGTCCCGCAGCGGATGGTCAAGGAAAGGCACGAGCTCGGTTTGCCTGGCGGAGTGAAGTATGTCGAGAGCTGTGAGGTGATCAAAGCGCGGCGGGGGGAGCGTGCGACACCAAGAAGGGCGGGAGCTAGCACACCACCAAACAATGCTAAGTAAACAAAAAAATCATGGAGGCACGGCAACGTCGCTAGCCGATGATGTAACCGACCCACGCGCAACGTCCGAAAAACGATCACCGACCACGGCAGAGTTCAGTGCGATCAAATTCTGGTAGTCTTGAATGTGGTTTGGTTAAACGAACTCCTTCTGACAAGGAACGGGGGTTAAAAGAGTTGAGAGTTTGTGGACCGACCAGGAACTTGGGATAATTTCGTACCTAATGAGCGATCGGCCTGGGCTGCTCAAGCCAGGCCTCGCTCAGGGAGTCAGAGCGACCTGAACCCCTTGAACTAGCGCCCCGCTCTCATCTACGGTAGAGAGATAGACCTACCGCTAATGCTCCACCGCTACCTTCCGGCGCATTCGGGAGCAGGGAAGAGACGGAACTGCCCATGGCTAGCTCCTACCACGTCCCTCCTGTTCCCAATGCCAGTAGCTGTCTTCCAGGCATCACAAATATGTCACCGGGACTAATCAACACATCCGGCAACTGATGCTAATTAAATTCCCTGCCTGCCTAGACTGTCCAGCGATGGGGGATAGGGGATTTTCGCCTGTTATGGTGGAAGGTTGCTTGCACGATTACCAAAGAGGTGGTTCATGGGTCGCTTCCTTGGAATGTGCTAATAACGCACACCTCAGAGATAATCTAACAGTTATTGTAACTTTATTTCATCTTATAACTGAATTTCTCTAGTTATTGTAGAAATCATTCAGTTTATTACCAACTCTTCCATTATGTATCTCATTTCTCCTATCACCCACTTGGTAGGTAAATCACACCTACTAGTATTGTCACCTCGATTGCAAACTGCCATTGGCTGCTGTGTGAGCACAATGTTGCTTATCTGCTCAAGTAATAACGGAGGGAGCTCCTTACCTAGGATGATGTTGAAACTTTAAAGCAATGGCACTCTTTCTAACGCTTTTCACAAAGGGGAATTTCTCCCCTGCCCTCCACTTGCTGAACTTTCATGAGCCCAGAGGCTACGATCACGCATAATAAGGCCCGGAAAGTGTCAGCATAGGGGATATGTAAGCTAGATCGGGTATATAACTTTTAAAGAAAACTGTGCACTGAAAAGTGCGTGGGGAGGTTCTATAAGTTACATATGATACATCGTTTAGCATTTCCAGGGCGATCATAGGAAGTTGATGCCCACGCCCAGTTGGAATCCCTTCGTTCCCACTTCCCCTCTCCTCAATGCCAGAGGTAAGCTGAAATTCAGTTCAAACCGGGCAACTGGATGGGCATAAACCAGGCCGACGCCTGTGGCAATGCTTGGCAGGCCATTCACCAAATCACCCAAGGCACCGAAGAGACCATTTCGCAGCGCCGTTCCATCCAATGCAGTACCGTTGCCCTTCCCTTTTGAGGTGTTCTTCAATGCCACCAGCCGTCCCCCGTTTGCGAATACTTGCAGTCGAAGTCCTGATTCAGGACCCTTGTATGGCAAAGGAAGAAGCAGATTGACACTTCCCGCAGCAAATACGTCACCTCCCACGGAATCCTGACCATCATGAGGACCCAAGCCACCGAGCTTAAAGCCCCGGACATCGTTGGGGCCGCCCAGCTGGAATCGATCGTTGATACGACTGGGAAGTAATTTTCCAGACTCAAAACCAAGAGGCAGGGGACAGAGGACGCCCATCCTCAAACCTCCCCCAATCGAGACACCTGAATGTCCTGCAATACCAGGTAAAGGAATCGGTACTGCGCCTCCGAACTCAACATCACCCTTGGAGAATGCTACATCGCCGCCAAGGGGGCCAATACCAGCAAATTCCAATCCTGATCGGATCATGTATCCACTCTGCGGGAGCTGTGGGTTGTCTCGCCTCTCTCTATAGAATGTATGCTTGATGGCACTTTTAATGGTATCGCCGGCATCCGCCCGAATGGTAGGACTGGCCCCGGCGCCGAGGCCAGTAACTTGTCGCCAAGCACCGTTATACTCCACCGAATGCGTGTCGCGGTTCGAGTCCAGCCATGAGAATCGCAAGCTGGATCCCTTCATCACTTCCTCGTGAGACGCCCACGGCTTCTCGGCTGCCGATGAGAGCGCCTCCAAGGATATCCTCATATCCGGGTTGCTCAATACCGGAGCGCTGAGGTTTGCACTGTAGGCTGATCTTGTTCTGGTGCCTGCCTTGGCATTCAGAGAAAGCGTTTCCGCGCCACCAAAGATATTTCTCCACAGCAAGGAGCCGTAAGCTGAGCCCTCGCCATTTCCAACATCCGTACCCGTCTGAAGCTTGAATCGGGAGAGCTCGCGGAGTTTGATATCAACATCGACATCGGTCGGGGTAGTGGATGGGTCAGTCTGTTGCGAGGATGCTAGGAAGATTTCGGGGTTTGGTTGAAATATTTCTGTAACTGTTAGCGTTGGGCCAAACCCAGGATCTTGCAGCAACATACGCAAACCACTGAGCTTCGCACTAGCTATCTGTAATCCGCCAACCACCTCACCCAAAGTAGAGGGTGACTCGGGGCCCTTAGAGACCAACGGTGCCAGGACGGGGTCGAGGAAACTTCGTCTGGTGTTTGTGGCGCCATGTACTCGGAGCTCGTTGATCGTCATGGGTATGGAGACCTGATCTACCATCTGCAAACTACTTAGTAGGCTGGTATGGAGCATTCTATCACAAGCGGCCTACCAATTGAGCAACACGGCGCTCCGTTGCCGCATCTTGGGCATACTTGAATTCGGGTTGGGACAGAGCCTCTTGATGGAGTGAGCCTGCGTCGGCATTGAGCTTGTCAAAAGGGTCAAGGCCCTATGATTGTTAATATTTGAGTGCTAATATCGCCCGCCTAGTATTTCAAGTTGCTCACCTGACCTCCCGGCCCAAAGTTCGCGGCCATCTCGCGGATATGTGTTGGTGTTTTCAGCCAGGAATGGTCTGATGGAGATAAGCCGGTAGCATCAATTGTTAAAGTGGTTCAGACGCATGTGCGTTAGGTTCTACCAGCTCAAGCAGAATGGGGCTTGAGCTACCCCACATCCCCGGGCATGTAAGCGCCTCAGGCACACAGCCACAAGCCACATCGCAGGTCCGCTGTGTCCTTTCGCACCGTCATTCGGGCATCGCTGGTACATCACCAAGAAATGCAACCATCCTTTGTCCAGTTGCAGCCCAACTTTAATTGTTTTCACCACCTCTCTTTCGCATCGCCTTTCCTATCATCTGCATAAACACTTTGATTTTCTCCATCACCGCAGAGGACGTTCGACTTACCATCAGAATTACGCCTAAGAAACGACAGTACTCACGCGACAACCCTCCCGGCCTCGTCATCCTCGCTCGACCAACCCTCTTGGTTAATATCTCAAAGCATGGCCAGCCAAACAGCCGTCAAACGAGTAAGGCTATCCTGTTGTATGGATACCAGAGTACTCTGAAAGTCTGAACTGACATTCTTCCGCAGTTAAATCGGGAATACCTGACGATCCAGGCGAACCCACCTCCTTACATCACTGCCCACCCCTCTCAATCAAACATTCTTGAGTAAGAGTTCCATCCCATGTCCCCCCATGCTTCGCTAACGAATGACTTAAAAAGGTGGCATTACGTCCTCACTGGCCCCGAGAACACTCCTTACCATAATGGCCAGTACTGGGGAACCCTCGTCTTCCCCCCTAACTACCCGTTCGCGCCGCCTGCGATCCGCATGAAGACCCCATCAGGCCGTTTCCAGCCCTCAACACGACTATGTCTGTCCATCTCAGATTTCCACCCCAGATCGTTTAACCCCGCCTGGGAAGTGTCGACTATTCTAAACGCTCTTCTCTCCTTCATGACGGGTGACGACATCACTACTGGCTCCATCAACGCCAGCCGGGCTGAACGAGAACATCTTGCTTTCCGATCGCGATGGTGGAACTCGACTAGCGATGACGGTAAACAGTTCAGATCCGAATGGCCCGAACTTGACGTCGAGAATCGAGAGTGGATGAAGCAGAACAACGTTGACCCGGCTACCGGTTATCGGATAGGAGGCGAAAAGGAATCATCATGCGGGCCACAGTTAAGTGTCAACGGATCAAGCGGAAACCAAACACAGGCAGTGGTTGATGCCGTGGTTCAGCAGCGTGACGCAGGAAGGGGATGGGTGTATCGACACAAGCTGCTGATAGCCGGCGGCGTCATCTTCATCTATGTTCTTATCGCACGCCTTTTGAGTGGCGAGGCCGGCTTCTCATGAAAGAGGGCTCGTTGACGATCACTTGCTAGAGCAGACCGCAGTTTTCCGCAAACCACCTTGGTAACCAGCGCAATAATATTTTTCAAGTAAGTTGGTTCAGCGTGAGTTTTGCAAAAGGATAAACAGAACAGCAAATCATCCGCCAAGAGGAGGCATTTCAGGATGGGGACAGTTCGACTGTGACGGGATATGGAATAAGATATGTGTAACGTCGGGAGTCTCGCGAGGTTATTGTTATTACTATTGATTTTCACTTTTCTCATAGAGAGAGGAATTGGGCGAGTAATCAGAAAGGCAACGGTTGGTGGCTAGTTAGTGTTCTATATTGGTACTATAATTATGGCCTCCGAATGAGATGAGTTTACAGCGTCACGTTGAACCTGTTTTCTTTTGAATTAATAACTGAGACATCAATCTGAAGACGGCCTGAGCCCTCCATCCACCAACGACCTGAGATAGCATTGCTTGCCCAATCCAAATCTAATCGCAGGTGGGCCTGATTTATCAGCGACCTTACCCTCAGTTTGTTCTGCTGCGACTCTAAGCTGGCAGGGAACTTCCGGCACTGGATCCTCGCTGCGGGGGAAGTGGCACCAGCTCGCTAGTGAGGTACCTTGATAATCCCTAGTGACCAGGAATGTTAAAGATTTCACAATGGGCGTAGGTTCTGTTCTGAATACCAAGAAAACCTTGATAAGCCTGTGTGCCTGCCTAACGTTATCAATAATGACAAGTGAGAGGGCGACTCAGACTTGATTCCTCGATCCGCTTTGGTCATTACGCGGCGATGGTGCTGCCATCGGCTCGCTTTCAAGACATTTCAGTGGAAGTCACTCACCAACAGCTGTGATCCCTGAAGGTTGCCGCTTCCGTGGTGAGAGTTTGTGCCTGCTCTAGAACGTTTGGTTGTGAGCGATGTGGATCCTATTCATGCTTGGGGATGAATAGATAGTAGGCCAAGTACTTACCTAAACAACAAGCAATCACATTGATCAACCAGTTGCACTCATTGATGCGCCGGTAATTGCCCGCTGCGCTCAGACGCACCTGGCCATATTGCTGGTCAATTGAGGTGGTGCTATTTCCAGACTGGCGCTAACCTGGGCGATGATCCCCAAGGGCTGTAGCTGTTAGTGCTAATAAGGTACCGGGGCACTAGGATTAGAGGGGAAGGGAAAAAAAAGTGATGCTGCAAATCAGTGCGTCACAAATTTCAGACCCTCCGCAGTGATTTGCTCCCGCCATGTGCCTCTGCATCACGCACACCAGTCCGCTGGTGTAGCACAAGCAAACGGAAACAAACGAAGAGTGCATGCGTGGGGGATCAGGCTTTTCTGTTGGATTCTCAGACTCCCCTTCCTTTCTTTCTTTTTCTGACACTCCTTTCCTTCTTCTCTCGCCTGTCCAGCACCGGTGAACGGAAACTCCTCCCGCTTCCCAACCATTTTCAGCCTCTCGCGCACGACCAAACGTCTCGCTCCACCACGGCCCGATTCATCCTCTGATGACTGGGCTCATGAATCTCCCAAGAGGTCTCTGAGTCTCTCCCGATCAAGGCCCGGTGCCGAATATCAGCCTTCGACTATTGGCTTCCCGGATTTCGATTCGACCCTCTGAACCTACCGAATCACCCTACTTTGCGCTCCGCTTGCTGTGATGGCTCCACCGTCAGGTACAAGAAAGTCTAGGCAGACGGCCAACTCCAAGCAATCCGGTAGGGCCGTGGTGCCTGCCATCCCTTTGCCTCATGTCAGACGCCAGGCTGCAGCGGCCGATGTCAAATCTCCAACCACATCGTCCATGACAGCGAAAACCGATCAAGCTGCTGAGCCAAACCAGCCCAGGGCTGAGTCACCACGGAGTTCAGTTAGTGGCTCGACCCATCAGGTCTCTGATCCAGCTAAGCCAAAGCCCGCTGGCTCAGATATTGTTTCAGACAACTCGTCGCTCGGTATATCTTGCCACAGCCCTTTCTCTCCAACTTTCTCCCCAATCTTTCTACGTATACTAACTAGCCCCATGGCTTAGCCGAGAAATCGGTGTCTAAGGGTGCCGAGAACTTGCGCGATACTACTAATGCAGAGACCTCCCTACCTCTTCACACCAACATGCAGGCAGATATCTCCCAGAAAACAGGTGTTGATGTGCATGTGAACGGAGTAGGCCAAAACCAGCAGATGTATGCAGACGAAGGTACGTTGCACCCTATTCTAGCTAAAGTCACTTTATCATCCTACTGACAGCTGCGAGTAGACAAGCCAAACTCCGGATTCACGATGCCACGGCCACTCCCGCCAGTCTCACCAGCCCGTTACCAGCAGCCTCCAGGCTCTCAGACCAGGCATAGGCACCCTGCTCGAACCACCAATGGAGCCGCCCAAGGCAATCTTGCGCAAGAACACATCAATATTGCCCAAGTCCATCTTGGAAACGGTAGCGCACATCTTGGATCGTTCGGTGGCTCGACCAGCTCTTCTCCGGCACCTCCTTTCGGAGGCATAGCCCCTCCACCCGGAATGCATCCCCCAAACGGAATGCAGCCCTTCGTCTCTCCAGACAGGGTCAACTTTCCTCTGGGTTTCGCCCCCGGGAGAAGCCCTCTACCACTGGCTGGCTTCAACAACCATGGCCGACCGAACATAGCCTTTAGCCCCCTGGACCCGAACCAAAATTATCACTCGCCCACAACTCAAGCTTACCAGGACTCGCATTCGTCAATGACTCAAGAAGATGGCATCTCGTACCAGCAAGCTCCGCCTAATGGTGTATCTACTCTTGTAGATGGCATACATCCGATCGATGCTCAGGGAAGAGCCTTTGGTGACCATGCGGGATTGCTGCCCCATTTCATGCCCCCCCCTGGCATGATATCTCATGCTGATGAAGCTGGGGGTCTGATAATGCTTGCGCAGCAACACTTCGGTTCTCCTGAATTCGCTGACTGCCTCCTCGAAGTCCGGCACCTCAGTGGAATTCCTATGCCGAGAGGGATTCCGGCCCATCGTTTGGTTTTATCGCGCAGCCCCATACTGAAGGATCTGATTCATGGACAAAATCTGCGACCTGGCCCAACGGACCAAACCTGGTTCCAGCCCCTTGTTATAGAGACAGATAACCGCTGGATCCGGGCCGATTCTTTCCACATCGCTGTACAGAACATTTATGGCTATCCGCTTTTCCAGGCTCCTCGTCCGAATCCGAATAGAGGAATGGACTCGGAGGATACCACCGTTGCCGGATCAGTGGCTGAAAGATTCCGCTTCGCCTTGTCCTATGCAGCTGCTGGACATATCCTGGGATGGGGTCCTGTAGTTCAGCGCGGATGCGAAATTGCAGCCCAGCTTCTGGACGCTACGACAGTTGAGAAAGCTTTAGAGTTCGCGCTCGAGGGTTATTGCGACAAGGGCGCATATGAAGAATTCAAATATGGAAATGGCTCGAGAGCCTTACTCCATGCCACTGTGATCTTTATCGTCAACAACCTTCATCCATTGTTCAGTCTCGATACCTTGGTAACAATTGACCCTGGCACATACGCCCGCTTGCCTTTCGATTCAGCATCTGCTCCTAAGGCGCCTGAGTCTCCTATGGACTCTCCGGTCATTGCTCGCGGAAGTTCTGTCGCGCATTTGGCCAAGGGTGTGCACCCTCGGAGCCATCGCAGCATTCAATTCGGCGACTTTGATGTCCCTGGCGGCCAGTCACCTGATACTCAGCGAAGTAATGATGGCCATAGACAAGCTTCGGGTGCTCTCCTCTCTCGCCTGTTGCTCAACCTTCCATTCGGATTCCTCAAGATGCTAATTGAGGGTGGTCCTGAGACAGGTCGGGGTTGGACAAACCCGGGAACATGGTATCGACTTGTTCAGGAGATCATAGGGGAGCGGGAAGCTCGCCGACTGAGAGCTCTTGAGGCTGTCATCTCTGGCAATGTACCAGACAGTACCCTAATTCAAGAAAGCCTACGAAGCCCCGAGCCTCGCATTCCCAAATGGAGTGCTCTGGGATGGCACGAAGAAATTACTACTCGTGGAAACACTGACGGCCTCTTCCTCAGCCGTCAGTGGACACCACTGAAGAGCGCCCCAAGCGGCAACGGAGCAGAATTCCCATGAGAACGAGCATGATCGGTGTGGCTTCTAGGAACCAAGCAAGAACGCAGCCCTCCGCTCCACGCGGCTGCCACACTCGTCCGAACTGGGCTTCCCTCTTGTACTACTTTGACTTGAATCGCCTTGGACTGCAGTCAAACTTTTCAGCGGCGACACAGTTAGTGACACGACGACACGAATATTGATTTTGGCGAGTTTTGGCGCATCCCCGAAATTTTGGCGGAAGCTTTATGATCTGATGGCAAGCTTTGGGGCTTGCATGAATCAGGCAACGAACTTGATCTTTGGGAGAGCATTCAATTTCAACTCAGACGGCTCCTCAAGTCTAAACGACGCGAGAAATACCGCTATTTTGAGCAATAAACCCCGAAGGAAGAGTTTATGGGAGTGTGAATCTCGGTTCACAGCTTAATGTCAGAGATGGAAACAGGAGTATGCGATACCGTGTGGGGAGGAAAAGGCGCGTGAATATCTACAGGAAGAAGGCGTTGCGATTATGAACTTCGCAGACATTGAAGACATGGAGAGTGAAAAACAACCCCAAAACAAAATAGGACAGCACTGGAAATATTCCCTAGGGTACCTGGATTGTAGCAGATAGGGGCAACTTGATACTGAATATGACGACCAAGAGACGATGAGCTATGCATACCTTACCCACTACATGTAAGCTGGATGATCTAACTAATCTCTTTCACGCTTGGACGTGTGGCCCATGAGTTGGATTGCAATGCATGAGCACTGACTGCCAAAACCGGCATGGCTGCTGCCAACTGGGCTGGTTGTTGGGTCCTTAGAACACAGAGCTTCTCTCGCTAAGTTGGACGGGAGCTCTTGATGCCAATTGCCCATTACAACCCATTACCTGCTTCAATTGGCGATACATGATGCCGGGAATTGAATAATGTGCAGAGACTAGCGCGGCCCCTCCCAATTACCCCACAATTGCTGCCATTATATCATTTCTTATCACCTACCAGTTGCTTGCATCATACCCCTGCAGGGTCACCACAATTAAACACACTCCAGCTCGGCATGTGGTATTAATATGGAGCCGAGGTTTCCTGTGCGCGACGCAGTTTCCCGGGAAAGCGTCAACTCCCATGCTTCCTTCCCTCACCATCCAGCTGACCATCCCTCCTCCCATCCACCATCCGGCCCTCTTCCCATCGCATCCCCCTCGCCGATCCATGTCGAGGCCAATCCATACTACCGATACCATCTGGCCTCGCAAGCCCTCTGAACCCGGCTAGATACGTCGCAACCGACTCCCACATTCTTCAACGCGCGCGCGCCGTCATTTTGGGCATTTCTCATAGCTTGGGTGCTAACCACCTATTCGACGATACCCGAATGGCTCTTCTTCTCAAGGCGTCGCACCTTCACTGCCATTAGAGTACCGCTGTATACCCTCAACCGCGCGAGGCTCTGGCCCCTTTTGTTTTTCCTCTCTCTATTTATGCCTGCAGAGTTCATGCATGCACATCAGCATGTCATCCGCTAACGGCTCCCAAGAACCCCCCAGGGAAGGGCGAAGAGCATCCTCAGCCAGAGGAAATGCAGACCTCGACCCTGTCTTGCGCAACACCTTGCGATATACAGTCTCCGCCCGCGAGTACGCTGCCTTGCACAAATACATTCTGTCACGATCCAAGGCGCTCCGTCGCGCAGCACCCACCCCAGCCAACGTCGACAAGGCCCTTCAGCCTCGGAAAGGCAATGATGATTATAATGCTAGGGCGGTGCGCCATGCTCTGCGTGTCTTTGCCGTATCCTGGCTGGGTATGAAAGGCTGGGATGCTGTGGCCCGGAAAGTCAAGGGCAAGGAGTAAGTTGAATGCGACACAGACGACAGTCCTTGCGTGCTAACAAGCGAGGTTCAGGGCGGCTGCCAATTCGAAGAAACAGCCTTTCTACAGTTCTCCAGCTTTAAGAATGTCGCTTTCGCTCTCTGCTATTCTTCTGCTGTACAGATGGCTCTTCCGCTTCCTTACTCGCTTGCGGACTCATCTTCTCCAGCCCGAAGTCGAGCCTTTCCGCCTTCGCAACCCGCGCACTGCTGCAACCCTTACCTCCCCTTATGCCCCCGCCTTAGGAGCCTCTTTCGCAGGACTTGCATTAGGTATATATCCTCGCCAGCAGTTGCGCGTCACCATTGCTATATACAGCTTATTCCGTGCCCTCGAGTTTGGATGGAATGCCTGCGAAGCGGAAGGATTGATATGGGGTGTCAAAAATGGTCGTCGAAGGGAGAGACCTTGGTGGTTTGGAAGCTGGATGCTCCAGCCAGTGGCCTTCGGCCAGCTTTTCCACGCCTTCGTTTTTGACCGCGATTGTCTCCCAGAGGTATGATAAGCTTCTAGATTCTGAATTCTGGCTCCATTGATTGACTAATTCCAACTTCAGCCTCTAAGCAAGCTAGTGCTGAGCCAATCCGCTGGATACCTGCAAACTCGTCCACAAGACTGGCCTCAGCATTTGAAATGGCCAGCGATGGACCAAATAGTTGACAGCCTAGCCGAGATGGCTCGTTTATCTTGGCCGTAAGTTGGCTTCACACTTCCATCCCCTTAACATCAACTAATTAACCATACTTGTCGATAGGACATTTATATCGCCAACCCTATTTCCTACCAAAGAGAAAGTTCTCCCACCGTCACTTGCGAGCCTCGCTCCTTTAACATCAAGAGCACATCCTCTCATCAGCCCTCTCTCCTGCGCTACCTTACATCCTTCCGACCCGTCGTGTCTACGGACATATCTCACATTCTGGATCAACACGTTCCCACCTCTGACACGTGTTCTCCTCTTGTTCTATTCCGCGATGACAGTTGTTCCTCGATTCAAATCCTTCTACCATTCTCCTCTGGCGACCATTAATTCTATCCTTGCCTCTGCGCTCCGCATGTCCACCTTTGCGACTGGTGCGCTCTCAAGCGCATGGGCATCCATCTGCTTCTTCCAAACTTATCTTCCCCGCCATGTCCTTGCCACTCAGCGATACTTCCTTGGTGGCTTCTTTGCTGGTCTCTGGGCCTGGGTAGAGCGACGCCATGGCCGTGGCGTCTTTCTTTACAGCGCTAGAGTGAGTGTGGACTCTTTCTGGAAAGTGGGCGTCAAGAGACGATGGTGGAAGTCCATGAAGAGCGGAGACGTTTGGGTCTTCGTTCTCGCACTGATGGTCACAGGAGTGGTTTATGAACGCGATGCTCGAGCCATTCGCGAAGGACAGTGGAGGAAGGGTGTGAGTTGGATTCGAGGTCAAGGCTGGAGAGATTGGAGTGCCGAAGAAGAAGCTGAAGAAGCCGATGACATGGAGAAGAATCTCTGAGCGCTTCGGAAATCCCTTCTCTTAATATTTCTTACTACCTACCTACTTTCTGTCGTATATGGTTTTCGGCCAGCGTTGTCACTTAGTATTTTGCGGGCATATCTTGTATATTGGCCCATGTATGTACCTACATTTATTCGCAGTCCAATAATTGTAAAGGGGTTCCATGCAGCTTTCGATTTGAGATAGTGGTTCACATGTCTTCCTCGCCCCGAGCAACCCAGCAGTAGGCCCACCAAGCCTATACTACCTACGCGGGTGGAGGCTGCGCCTGTTGATCGTGTTCATGAGGGTCAAGGCAAATGGAGTCGTGGAAGGGAAAAGAAGCAGATTCTTGCTGCCTTGGGCAGGGATTTCAAGGCCCGGCTTTGGAAGGAAGGCATGTTGAGAGAGGGCACGATAATTGCGCTCCAACAGCAGCTCCAACAGCAGCTATCCCTTCCAATAGTAATTCCTTCTAGATAGAATAATAGAGCAGTAACAGCATATCCCTTGAACATGATTTTTAAGCCTCTCTACATTATATCTCTTTATCTAAATACATTTACAAAGGATAGTATAGATACCCTTTCTACGGCTGTAAGGCTAGGCATAGCTCAGCGTCCATTAAAGAAGCAAAGCTGGAAGCTGCGGAGCAGATCATATACCAATGTACGCTCACTGCTCTCGATAGCCTCTTCGTATGTGCGCGATACGGCTATCTGGCGAAGAAGAGGGTTACAGGCAGGGTCATCTCTCGGGCACGATTGAGCTGTCTGTAGGGGTCAATTCGTATGGATGTGTTCTTCGTGGCTTGATGATGAAGCTGTCTGCAGCCGCGGGCTTGTACGGACAGGTTCTTCGTCAGTTGACGATTGGTCTGTCCGCAAGGGAAGGCTTATCAGAACAGGCTCATCGGGGGTCTGTAATAGGGCGGGCTCTTTGTATGTCAATGATCACGCTGTCCGCGTAGGGGGGATTGCATAGACAGGTTCATGAAAGTTCTGCGATATAGCTGTCTAGTCTAGGTAGTCAAAAAAAGAGCCGGCTGATTAAACAATCAGGTGTATGAGTCCAGCCTCAGGCTGCCGGATGATTGCTTTAGTAGCTGCTTGATTGATCAGATCAAAGTGGAAAAGCTACCACCTTTTGCACCATATTAAGACTCTAGGTGTATGGGTATAATCTTATTCTCGTTAATTTATCTAGGTCTATCTGGGTAGCTATGTCTGGCAATAGCTGTAGCTGTAGCCATACCTGTAGCCATAACTGGAACCGCAACTATTGCTGGCTGTAATGTTGCTCTTGCTAGTCGGGTGTTGGGTTTGAAATGTATTTAAGGTAGCTTGACAGCTACTGTAACTGAAAAGTGTCTACATTATGGAGAGCTCAATGAGTTATTGTATAGGTATCGCCAAGCACCTTCCCAAATAACCTCATATCCTCACGCGCCACGGCAAGTATTGTGTTTTTTGTTTTGGGGCCGTCTATATAAGCCCCTCCCCCTTCTTCTCAGCTCTTCCCATCTTCTTCTCACTTCACCCTCCCTAGGCCATTCCCTCTCACCCTCGCCCTCACCTCCACCCTCACCTCCACCCTCACCTCCACCCTCACCTCCACCCTCACTCTCTTCGCTCCTCGCCTCACATTTCCTTTCTTCGTCTATACCTACCCAAGCATTCAACTTTACGATCAAATCTTCCACCGCTTCGTCTCACCAACATGGATGGTGACGAAACAGACTACGAAACTATCTCCTCCGCTGAGAGTGAGGCTGACGAGCATGTGGCCGACGAGCAAGAGGCTGACGAGCATGAAGCGGAACCTGGTACCCCAGTTTCTCCAGGATCGAACGCCGAAAACCCTTTTGTTGTAGACGATGATCCCAGCTTAGCCGATGAGCCCAACTTAGCGGACGAACCTCCTCTCTTCGTTGAGGACGCCCCTCAGTTCGTCGAAGAGGTGACTGATGGGGATTATGTTAACGATGAGGATGGACAGTCAAGTGGGAGCCAAAGCAGCAGCAATGAGTCCGAGTCAGAAGATTCCCAAACCGATGCTTCATCCGAAGGACAGGATCAGAACAATGTCTTTGATTCAGACGCTGAAGAGCCTCCTTGGAGTTTGGTGCATTGCCAGGAATTCTGCCAGCCACACTGGCAGAGGATTCACAACAAATCCTACAGAAGAAAGTGCAGAATCATACGGCTTACACAGGAATACCGCCGAGTTCAAAGAGAGAATCGCGAGCTTCGAGCAGAAGTCGAGGACCTCAGGGCCCGCTTGGCAGCTCGTAGGCAAGTTCGCGGACGATACAAGGCGGTAAGTATATTCGTGTTGCAATTCTCAACAGCTTCCAGATTATGGAGTTTCGCTGACATTCTTAATAGACATGGTATCAGCTTTACCGCCTGAGGGATAATAGGCAAAATATGCCGAACGGAAGGGCTATCTCATGGGCACAAATCTACAAGAAATCTTGCCTAGAGGGGAACATGAGCCAATTACTCACTTTCGTCCACCCGAGACTTAAGTTGAGACCGCCATGTCCTCGAGATGAACAAAGCACACCTCGAGATGAACAAAACACAACCCGCACTGAGGAGGAGCCATTCGTCTCCTGGGTCTGGGCTCGTCTCCCAGCAGGCGTTCAATTGGAGGTGCTCCGACATCTTCTAGTTTTCACGGATGGCCCGATTCATGCCATATCTAGACTTGACCCTTATAATGAACCCCCGCAACCGCCGCGGAATTGCCTGGGGAAAATCAGCTACTTGCATCGCTTTCATATTGGGATTAGATCTGTGAGCTTGACATATGCTCTCAACCCCCAAAAGGTCTTGGCTCCGCTGAGAGTGTGCAAGAAGTGGAACACATGGGGATGCTACCTTTTCTACGGTCAGAATACATTTGCCTTCTCCTCGCTGGGCGAATAGGGTCGCTTCGCGAAGGGGATCGGCTCACGACTCCAGCGTGTTCAGTCCATTTCCCTTCTTTGGAAGGGATCCCAGTATCTTACCTTCAAGCCTACAGAACATGGCCATTGGTCGTCTCGGCGTACTCATCCTTTGCTTTGGTTGAGTGAGGCAAAGCACCTGCTGAATGTGGAGTTCTTCCTGCAAGAATCTCATCCTGAAGTCATGAGACGAAAGCACGAACCTCGGGCACTCATCAACCACATGGCCGAGAAGACCAATCTGCAGCCAAGTTACAGGCTGAACAGGGACCTGCGGACCTTACAGGGCCTCGACTACATTATTTGTCTTCGTGGTTTGAAAAAGGTCGACTTTTTCGATTTTGATAGATGGAAGAGCAATGGTGTGATTGAGCAAGTCCGTGATTACCGGTTTGTCATGCACGTCAAGAACAATGTCTGCCGCTCAAAGGCACCCCACGACGCTGAGACGTCGGAGATACGAAACCTCGCACCTACAGTGCCCGGCTACGTTATGGAGTCCGGTGACTGGGACGCCTTGGAGCGCTTCTTGACCAAGCACTTCGGCATCCAGACTGAGCAGATACCGCTTCAACGCGGGTACGCACCCGTGAGATCGCAACCGGTCAGCACATTCATTGTAATCGACAGTGACAGCGAAGACGACTCCGACTCTCGCTCCAGCGTCCGATTTGGTTCCGGTTCAGGGATTTTAGAGGAAAGACAAAGCATGAGCAGTGCCACCTCGGCCATAGAGGAAGATCGCAGCAATCCTGGTTCCGAGCAGCCGATGGCCAGTACAGAGAGCAATGCTGGGTCTCTGGATGAGGTCATGGATTTTGACGTTATTGACCCGGCAGATGATGAGATGAGCGATAATGATGAAGATGGAGATGACCTTGGCGATGCTATGGACTTGGGAGAATAGAACAGCGAATTTCCTGGGAAACATTTCTTTGACTGGCGAGATGAAGTTGGCATTCTGGGACTTTTATTTGGGAAATGGTCATTTTACGGAAAAGCATTCTCTGACATTGCAGTCAGTTTACGGAGACGCATAGATTAGTGGGATCTTCTACAACTCGGGACTCGCGCAAAACAACGATGAACTGAGAAAGCATTGAAAATCTAGGTATCCTATTGCTAGCTAGGATACAAACTTGAGCTGCGACACAATATCGCCTAACAACGGCCAGTTGAGAAAAAGTCTCGTTAAGATTCAATCAATTCTAATTGAATCTACATCAGTTCGCTATGCTGGAACTTGACATGCGATCCCTTTTCGGAGATCTGATCGGTGTTGTGTAGGCGCCCGCCTAAGACACTTCTGGGGCGACTGCGACCAATTGCCACGGAATTCCTAATCTAAATGTTTTAACCGGATAATCCTTTTTCAATTCCATGCTATCGCTTCATCTCGATCACTTCGGGGGGGGGGCGATGAAAGCGTGATGTAACCATGAGCCGATGACGACAACGATAAAAACGGTCAATCACGTAGTTCTTACTAAATTCCAGGCCCAGATAATATAAAACCTCCAAACTGCAGAGATAAATCCTAAAAAGGTCACTCAACCTGAATATTCCAGTCTTTACAATCAGACAAGATCTTACACCTTCACCACCAATCAAGATAAATTTATTGCAAAAATGCCTGAAGGCCGTCAATCCCCTCCACCTGAGCGCCAGTCCGGCCAGCAAGTTGGGAGCCAAACGAAGAACGCCCCCGACTCCGACTTGAAATCCAACAAGGACTGGTCTGCTAAAGAAAGGCAGCTGGAAGAAGAGAGAGATGTATGTATTTCCCCCTAATCTAAGCAATCTTCTGCTTGGTTTTTATCAATCGGCTAATCATTGTGGTGACAGCACCTTGAATCAAACCCCAAAGGTCCGATGGAAGACGCTCTGGAGTCCAAGTTCTCCAAAGGGACAGGGAACCCAATTGGCAAGAATGTGATCTAATTACATCGGAGGATGCAGCTAGAATTGTACTTATGATAGTTAATTAATGCAAGGTCCATTTTCCAGACACTCTCGATTGGTGATGATTGTGTCCAAAGGTGACGTTGATGGTACAGGGTAAGTAGCATGATCGTTGTACAAGGCCATCACCGAGCAGCATTTTCTTCCTTTCATTTTACATTTTACAATGGTCCGATACGAGGATTGTTACTTTAGTATAACAGATATCACATTCACCACAGTAATGTATCATAACATTCAGGATTCTTGAATTGCTATCCACACACGTTACGGAACAGACCCTTGCTGCATGCTCTCATCATGATCATTCGTAGAAATCGTCGCCAAAGAGAAAATGGAAAGCATAGGAATTAAAGAAGAGTTAATAACGAAGAGAGAGAGATTTAAGCCAGATAAGTCTTCTCGTCCGTCGCCTTGACAGGAGGGATGGGGTCGTTGGGGTTGATCTGGGTGGGGTTTGTGGTGCCGGTGGCGGGAGGGGCAGTGGCAGGAGGGGCAAAGTCACCCCCCGCGGGCGCGGTCGCGGGGTCGGCGTGCTTCACCTCGGGCTCCTTCTCCTTTCCGAATACCCTCTCGAGGCCGGAGGCCTTGTAGGCGCTGCCGCCGTGCTGCTCCTTCTTCAGGTCGGCCAGACGCCTGGCCTCGGTGTGGACCTCCTGCACCTGCTTCTGGCCATCTTCGTAGAACTTGGCGAGCTTCTTGCCGGTCGGGGTGTTGGTGGCCTTCTCGAAGTACGAGTTCAGGCCCAGGAAGAGGTTGTTGGCACGGTTGGAGAGGCCGTAGGTCTGGTCGGTGGCCTTGGCCCGGTCGGTGGCGTGGTACTTCTGGTCCAGGGTCTGGATGGTGTTGAGGAAGCGGCTCGAAACGCCGTGGGTGCTGTCGAGCTCAAGGGCGCGCTGGATCGCGGCGTCGCCGACTACGTAGCCTTGTGCGAGGTACTCAGCAAGAATGCGTGCGCGGGGCTTCTCTTCTTGAGTGATCTCATCCGAGTCTCGGTCTACGTTCTTGGTGAAATGCGAACCATCGTCCTCAACGCTGCCGGTAGGGCTTGTGACGGAGATGTGGCTGGAGCCGAGCTGGGTGCTGTTCAAGAGAAGGGCAGTCTTGGCGGCAGTCTCCTTCTCGAAGCTAACGTCGGCGGATTTGGTCTCGCCTTCAGTAGTAACCTTGATGTCGGTGATCTTTCCGCTAAGAGGGGTAGATGGAGGGTCAGTCATGAATTGACACGCGCGGCGGGGAATAAACTTGGGTACCTACCAGAAGCTGAAGAAGTCCTTGATCTCGCTATCGCTGGTCGCGGAAGCGATGTTGGTAACGTGAACACTGTTGGAAGCCATTCTGATGGATGATAGGGATGTTATTTCTTGAGGCGGTGTAAGGGACTGTTGTATGTTTGGATTGAGGAAGAAAGAGGTACGAGGAATGAAAACCAGAAGTGTTGAAGAAAGTGGATGCAAGGGGCCTTGTTTTAAGAGCACGCAAGACACGTCTGATAAAATGACCTACCTATCGCGCTACTGTACAGCAAACCAAGCTACCCACCCTCCCAAGCATGTTGGTAGCCTACAGGTGCTGCTACGGTACGTAATTATGTACGTATGTAACCCCTCTTCAAGCTGCTCATAGAGCCAGGATAGTGGCGGAGCGCCACAGACGACGTCATCAACTTCCCTGTGCAACCTTCGTTTAGCGCCTCGCATTGTGCTATTGTGGGGGAGCGTGGGCAAATTGTGGTGCTCCTGCCATTGCGCGCCACAGCTCGCGCCACACTTGAGCCGGATTTCTTCGAGATTCTGCCTCTTGATGTTTCACCACAGCCTTCTTCAGGTTGACGCGTTCATGTTGGGGTAGTGATATTGTTGAGGGATCGGATTCGCATGTGATATTTGACCAGATTCCTCCTGACCAAGGCTGGCTGCTGACTTGCATGGGTACATCCTACCTACTAATATATCTCCTCCAGTGTCTGTATTGATTGTCGTTAATTGGCTGGCGTTATTTTCATGCCTCATGATGTGAACACCAGTTTCATGGATTCGCTGCTCACATCACACTTGTGCTTCAAGCCTGAGAACTGTAGTCCTCTTACTTACCGCTTGTTGTTCATCTTCTCTTGATAGTAATGCTATATCGGTGCATATCTTGCGAAGGACATAAAAAATGGCAGCTTAGCTATATAGGCATAATAAACTCGAGATTCCGGAATCACCATTTGCCGCAAATCGTTGAGACTGGCTGGCCCTAGGTATCGTGGACAGACCCTGGGTTGTGGTGTTGACCCGCACCCTTGACATTGTGTAACACACAAGTTGTTAACCTGAGTTTGTAAGGAAGATTTGTCCAAAACGCCCCCTCGAGATGAAGGTTCTGTGGACGACATCGAAGAAGAGAGATATTCACTAGAATATTTGATGTATTCTATCTACAGTTATATAACAAGAGCTGATGGGAGGAGCGATCGTCCTCCATTAACCAATGCTGATACCTAGAGTGCATTGGAGGCCTCATTGATAACCAAGTGGTGTAACAGGGCTGCATCAACTTTCTTAAACCAACGACTTCCTTCCGATAATCCTTCTCTCGTCGAAGCTGAAGGGCTCCGACTGATGGGGTCGCCTTGCATAAATGCTGTAGTCAGTTGTGTATTCGTACTTGCAGCCAGCTTACACGGGCCTCACCCCTTCCAAACCAGCGGTCCCCTCCCCGGTCAACAGAGAGATTGCCTTGATACATCGTTGACATCATGTACGAACGGGTTTCCCACCGTCGGCTCCCTCCCTGGGCCAGGAACCCCACATTCCTCGAGGTGGAGCAGCGGCACCTTCGAGCGCGTACGAATGATGAATCCCTGTTGCTACCTGGTCAAGAACGGAGTAGCTAAAATCCCAAATAGCTAAGTTTAAGCTCTTAAAGTCCTCCGGGGCGGCGGCTCTATTTCTTTGATGGATCTTTGTAGGGAACTATCTTCTCCACATGCTAATTTTTTGGCAATAAAATGATCTGTAGTACATGATCTTGGATATTCCCGGGGGCTATGGATCGCTGGAAAAGTGACGCAGAGTGTTGTGGTGACAGATGGGCAGGAAGACATTGGGTTTAGAGGCAGGAAGCTTGCACGCTATATATGGACAGAATTTAAGGTTATTTTGAAATTGAACAAAGGGCACAGAAGGTGAGATTCTAAAAAGCCTCGATGGTTCCATTCTAATTTAAGTATATATCTGTTATATGTATGCTATGTACTTTGTTCTCCGACGGGGAAACCACTCGATATTACGGCGCCCCCATTTTGGCGGAGCCATGATACTGTACCAGCCTCCGGGGCTGTTTTATGTAGTAGACCTAAATTGACGCGCACAAGGTCATGCTCGTATTCCCAACTGGATATCCGCGTTCTGCACTCGACGACGCCATCTGGGACCGGTGAAGAGCTTAAAGCCGCACAGGTCCATGCCAGCTGTTGCAAGACGTCTATCATGGGCTGAACCCAAGCGGATACAGTGACACGGATAGCGCCAGGTTCGATTTCGAAGTGTAGGAGGCGTAATCCAGGGTAAAGGGCAGCTTCTGATGGGTTGCTGCTCTCCCAAAATGACATGGCCGTGTAACTCCTGCCTTCAAGATGAGATAGCCTAGCCTCGACCATGGCCCTTTCCAGATACTCTAGGACGACTCCACCAGTTCTCGGCCAATATCCGAGTGTGTAATCTCTGACCGTGGCCCAACCGCATTCTTCTGCAGTACCGGTTATGACGGGGATTTCTTTAATCCCCGAGTCCGACGGGTTGCCAGGTGCGAAAAACCTCTGAGATGCATCAAATTCGAACCGGAACTGGAATAGGTGGAAGCCATCAGTGGGTGGACGTTGGCGTCTTTTCAGCGTCACTTCCCATATGGTCGACTCCATGAGGTGAACTTGGACTAGATGGGGGGTATATAATGTTTTTTTGAACTTGGACACTAGGGTCCGGAAGGATTCGCCTGAAAGAAGGCGTGAGCCGATAGAGCGCGCAATGTCATCGGGGTTGCCTCCAGGTGACCTGGAGGCATAGTTGCGATGCCAGTAGCCGCATACCAGCTGTAATGCAAGCGAGGGATCTACACCTCGTGCTGTTTCGGTCCATGTGAGCGGCCGACGGGATAGCCCCGGGCCAATTCTTTCCAAAATGCATCTTGACACTTCTGGACCGTATAAAATAAGGATGATTTGTCTAATGGGGCCCTCGAACAGGCGGGTCACCTGGTTGCCGTGCTCGGCGTTGGATGCCCGGTAAAATTCAAAAAGTTCGTCCCAAATATTCTTGACGAAATCTGAGATGATTCGCTCAACAACCATGTCGAGGTTGATTTTGACCCTTTCATCCGGAAGGTAGTAGTATGTAATAAGCTCATTGCCCAATGCGTCTGCAACGGCGGCCGAAAAGGCCATAATCAAGGTGCCGGATATCAGAGGCGGCAGCTGGACCTCGATGGAATTTTCCCTAGATGATCGGGACGAAGCAAGAGTCGGCAGAGGCGGCTTGACCAGAACTTGGCTTCGAGGAGGCCCAGGTCTGGAGTCAGACTCAAGGTCATCTTGGGGTGGCATGTCTGACCATGGTTAAGTGTGCCGAAAGCCCTGTCCCAATCGATTCCCAAGACCCGCAAAGACTCCCGCAGGACGGATCTTGCATAGCGAGAGGATAAAAAGAGAGACAACCAACTTGCATCACCGTCAAAAAGAATGTGATTTGAATTGCTAAGGAGAGGTCCCTAAAAAGAGGCGAGCGAGGGGAAGTTGCAGAGAAAAGAGAGTGGAAAAAATGGGTGACGTTGACCAGGTGTGGAAGGGTTGCGCGTCAAGGTACGAACTCTAGCCGATGGGAACAAAGTCCGGCGGCGGGCGCTCCGCATTGGTGATTGCGTGTGGAAGGTTAGTAATTGCCCAGCTAGGAAAGGGCAAGGAAAGGCATGACATCCATCGAAGGCAAAGCACTGGGCGGCAGCAGGCAAACCAAGAGGCCGCCAGCAGAGAGATCGCGGGCACGAGATCAGCAGAAGAAGAGCCCCAACCGGTGGGGATCTGGGAGGAGATAAAGCCCGGCGGTGTCGTGGATGAGGCAGATATACCGCGCTGAGGTGGGAATTCGAGATGGCTTCGATGCTGACCGACCAGGATGGGCCTGGGAGCCAACAAGCTTTAGGTGCGCGGTCCGGGTCTGTGGGCGCTGGGCTTTGGTCGGGTTGAGTTTCGGACGCATCCACGCGACTGAGCAGGCCCATAGAGGGTGCGTAATGAGCGGGGCGCGCCCGTCCGTCCAAGTCGCCACGGGTGACGAATCGAATCTCTCCAACCTTGGCCAGCATGCACGTAGTCGCACGTCGGCCAGCGCTACTTGCTCTTTGCGGCCAGCACAGCCAGGATAATGGACCCCTCTCATGCTAGATCAGGGGCCATGGGGACTGGGCTGGAGCCACCCGCTCAAGATGAGTCTGAGATAGATGAGCGGTACCTCCCGTTCGACAAGACCTCTGGCCTCTGGAAAGACCGCCAGGTGCACCTTTGGCGCTTCACCGGGAACCAAGCTCACCAGCTGAGAAAATCGCATTTTCAGCGTATTTTCTGTTTCCAAATTGTCCCAAATTCATCGCCATTTTGGCTCTGGCCGTCGCAGAGACTACCCCATCACATATGATCCTGGCCCGGAGTACGCGCGTCAACTCCTCGCATAGCAAGGCATGAAAACCCAATCGAAACCTGAGACCAGTCCATGTTTGGTCAGCAGGACCGAGGAGTCTGGTAAATGAGAAAAGGAAAATTTCTTGAGAATGGGAGCAAACAAGGAACGAGACGCATCTCTTCTAGACGGCATTGGGAAGTGCCACTTATAAAACTAGAGATGGCTATCTGCCAAGCATGCTCACAAGGCATATTCCAAGGCAGACTGCCCCAGCTCGGCAGCAGCCCGAGTACTTGGCACATCCTTGATTGCTCATATCCTCCCATTTTGTCCAGGCAAGGATCTCTATGGAGCTCGTAGGGACAACACCTTGCTATCATATGCCTTCAGTGAGCGATACCAGAATCAAGATTTAGATAACTAATTGTTTTCTGAATTTCTACGCAATGTAGTAAAAGCCACATTCCAGGCAATCATTCGACCTCGCAGGAATCATTTCATGTGGGCAAAACCAAGGCATGTTCGCCTACATTGATGCTTGATGAAATGTTTATATCTGGTGAGTTTAGAATGCAGTATCGTATCTGCTGCCGCCCAATTTTGAATATTTAAAAGATAGGACCTTGGTACAATTTCTTTGCTTCTCATTTTATATCAGACGGATAAGATGAGGTCTTCATTGAGTAGGGTCATCATTGAGAAAACTATATATTTTAGTAGAGGGACACTGCCCTTCATTTTCCCTTCTTCATATTCATCAATCTCTTCCAGTGCGATTGACGCGTCTCCTTGGATTCCCTATTTCATGCCCCCCCTTTTTTTTTAACCCCATCCAGCCCGGGCATATCGAAAAGAGCTGGGAATGATTGCTACTCTATAACCCCGAGCACGACTAGTGGGTGACATTGAAATTAAGACTTTCAAACATTACGCTACTTATTCTCGAGCCTGCGACCGGTATTATTAGGCTACTAAGAGCTAATCATATATATTTTAGAGATAATATAGCGTGTATTGTTACTTTGTTTTAATCTAAACTACTAAATTTGTCTATTTATTGTAGAAAGTAGTGTATTTATAACCAACTCTTCCATTAGGTGTCTCATTTCTGTCACCCACTTGCACGGTAAAGGTCGATCGGTACGTACCTACCGAGGTGTGGGTCTGACACATGCCTGATCTGGAATGACGTCTAATTAACACACGACAAGAATCAGCGAACTAAATTCAACCCACCTCGAAAGATCACCATCCACACATCGTTATAAACTTTACCAATCTGTGGAATAATGGTTTGACTGCACGCACAATGGTATACACACAGAACCCAAATCGATCCATATGTAACTAGCTCACGACTTTTTGCAGAACACCCTTCAGGAGTCAATTCGCGTCGCAACTTCCAAACCGGTTCGGCGAGCCCTCGTCAACACCGCCATCCTCATCTCCGGAGCGACGACCCTCCTCGGCCTCGCTGCGATCGCAACCGCTCTATTCTTCCAAAACTACGTACCGCATCGATTTCTCACAACTCCTGTTCATCTTCAGTATGGGTATGGCACACTGCTGCTTCTGTGGGCAACCTGCCGTTGACTGTCCCCCGCATTGCTAACTCACGCTCGCGCTCGGCCATAGATCGGGCCTAAACCCCTATGGCCTCGTGTCCCTCACGTCTCCTGTTTTGAAATCAGCGCAAGATTACGATGTATCCGTCACTCTCACGTTGCCTCGATCGCCTCCGAATCTCGAACGAGGGAACTTCATGGTCAGCCTGCACCTGCTTCGCTCCGACATCAGCTCGAATCTGAACGACCCTACCCGACTCCTCGAAGATAGTCGCATTAATGTCCAAGGCCAGAAAATTGTCTTCAGCACTCGCCGAACCGCTCTGATGCCCTACGTCGATCCTTTTGTATCGTTGACGTCGCGTGCCTTATTCGTCCTATATCACATGTTTGTGCCTAGCTCTCTGTTCTGCACGATGGACATTCCGCTAGCCGAGCACGTTTCTTTCCCAAGCGATGGGGATCTACCTGCTTCGGCGTATATCGAAATCGAGGCTGGCCAGTCTCTTCAAACTTACACGGCGGCGCTCAACTTCACTGCCCAGCTTCGAGGGCTCAGAGGGTTGATGTATAATTATCGGATCCCCATGTATATCATATTCACCTCATTATTCTGGCTTTGCGAGATTCTATTCATGGCTGGAACTTGGGGCCTGTGGGGACTTGTAACGAGCTCGTCTCCTGAACCGTCAGGACCGTACTTGGAAGGCGAAAAGTTCCACGGGACTGTCAAGAACGAGGAGGAACAAGAGTCTGAGTTTGAGCGTAAGTGGAGCTCTGCGAAGCCGTCCAGAGCTTCAATTGCTGTGAAAACGGAGCCCGTGGTGAAAGATGAGGACGACGATGGGTCGTCAAAGCTGCTCTCAGAGATTCCCGTGGAAGGAGCTGAGGCAGACGACGAAGATGAAGATGGGACGGAAAAAGGATCGCCGATTGATTCTGGGATTGGAACAGGTAGCTTTAGTGGGGAAGGTAGCAGCGTGAGAAGACGAGCAAGCCGCAACATGGAACCGGAGCCCAGGCAATAATTACAGAAGCAATCAATCATGAACACTGACAGATACGAATCGAATAACTGGAATTCGCTTCTTGACCAACTCCAATTGCTTGAAATCGTGTTCCTATTGTCCTGATCCTTCATCACAAGTCGAGAGAGCTTGGGATAGCTCTTGACGTAATGGCACGATGAAACCCGGTCCGGATGGGTCAGCTGACTAGGGAGCTTGTGAGGGTCGAGCCGGGGTAGTAAGCGCAATCGCCCGAGCCGTCACGAGGACTGGTTCATGGCCCTGAGGAATGACAAAAAAAGAAACCCAAATCTAATTGCATCGCATCATCAAGCTTGTTGAGCTTGCTGAGCTTGTTACCGCTGCAATGACTCACTACTTCCAATGGCTGTTGTGGCCAGGTCTGGCCCTTTGCAGGGCCAAGTCCGGTGGCGGGCTTGGTGGGCCGATGGTGGGCTTATCAGATTCCGGCGCGACGAAAATGCACCTCCTGTGACCAGTCGTACCACCAACGCAATGCTCGCCCGGCATTGCTCGTCTGATTCGCCATGCTGAAGTGGCCTGACGCATCATTACCTGCAATGCACACTGTGAGGCCGACAGCTTAGCACTTGTCGGTGTCGGATGCTGGGTACAGCACTCTCCATGGCGACCGCCTATCTGCTCAGGCCTGCCCAAGCATGAGTGGTTTCTGATGCGATGCCGGAATGACGAAGCTATCGAAAACGGCGATGGTCTCAGCATCATCACGCCTCCTGCAGGCTCGAGCTCGCACTGTAAGCCCATCCCACCCCAGCCAGCAGTCATCTGGGAAAATTGTCCGATCGAGGCCTTTGACTTGAGGGGCCTCGTCTCATCTTCCCCTGGAATGGGAGAGCATGATGCTATAACCAGGGATCTATGCATCCGCGTGAGGTTTGGGTTGATGGGAGGGATCTAGGCTAGTCTGTCCGATTGGCGGCAACCCAGTGAGAACCAGGGGTGATCATGAGCTCTCATGGCCGGTGTACAGTGCCTGGAGGCGAGCCTAGTGTTTCTTGAGCTCAGCTGGACGGGCCGTTCTGTGTGGCTACTGGCGGCCATTCCACACCTAACGAGCTGAACTTTATTTGTGAGGAGAGGGCGAGGTAGCTACCTACTAGTCTGGTAAGCTGACCTGTGCTGGGGGTTGAAGCAGGTATTCGCACGGTACACAAACGTCTGGGACTCGTAAATCGGTATCCATGCCAACGGCAGGATATGTAGTACTGTGCACAAAGGAGCCAATGGCACTGTCCCAGTGCCGTGCCTGATGCATTAAGTTGGCGGATGAACCTTGCGCCCCAGTGAAGCGACGATATGGTTGGATCAATGAACCCGACGGCTCCGGGAGGGGCAGCGAGACGATCTTGCATCACACCCGACCTGCTCTGCTCCCCCTCCCTCCACCCAGGTCACTGACACCACCTCCACGACGCAAGCTTGTCACACCTTCGAAGACGGCTAAAAGATGCCAAAAAAACATGTTTCCGACCGCACCAAATCTGCTCACGCTCATCGTCAATCTCGACCACGGCTGCAGGTATTCTCGACTGGCCCCTCCTGCGGCGCTGTGGGTCCCTTCCGACAAGCTTCCCCGGATTCTGCCCCAGACGGCAAACAGCTGGTTGCAGGCTGACGGCGCTAAGGCAGAGCACCGACCCACTGTAGTGCAGCGACTTACTGAGCTGCGCGCTGGAATAGGTACGCTGGGACGCCGAGCAAGTCACCTGGCCCTCCCGCCCCAGTGCTCCGAGTCAGAGTCACGCGATCTGGTTGCGCCAACATGGAACACGCTTGTCTCTGCACCTCCGGCACTGGGAGCTTAGCAGTAAATCAGCGTGGTAGCTCTGGATCTCTGATCTCGTACCTACATAGAATCCATGATAGATAGCATGCACACACATGGTAATGCCGGAGGGACCTGACGGCCCTGCCGAGATTGCCAGCGAGCTCCGTAGAGGCGAGGCAGGTACCTGTGCCATCGCCTGATTTGTATGGGGTACCCCCGAGACTTCGGTCGATTGCCCCTCCGAGCGGGTACCAGAAACGGCATGGGCCATGTCGGCTCCATAGGCGAGTACCTCAATCGAACTACATCTGACATCAGGGGGAGGACGAAGCACCGGCGGTACCTACGGGAGCTTGGCTGGAGGAGCAGCAGCACGGACATGCGTGCCTGTGGCCACGCAGGTATCCAAGTATCGCGCAGGTATTGGCATGTAGCACTAGTGAGGTGGTACTGGGCCTCTCGTCCCAGGTAGACCAAGGTAGGCCACCCCTCCCCTCCGACAGAGTACTTCGTTTTACCACTTGGCTGCGACTGCCTGAGCGCAGCATACAAAACAGCGCTCCTTCCCCTCTTCCTTCTTACCCCTCTCTTCTCTTCTTTCACTCCATCCCAGATCAACCACATCAATCATTCTGTAGTCAATCCTGACTGCCACTTCCCAAGGTTGGTATTGTCCCGGCTCTCTCCAGCATCGTCATCATCATTATGAAAATAGTCATATAGCCCTATCCAGACTGGGTGCCAGTAGCAGTATGCCCTAGCTGACGCCAGACTATAGCAAACGCAAGACAGAAAGCAACACAACATAGTCCTTCTATAGGACCTAATACACATATCCCAACACCTGCCACCATGACGGAACCCCTCAAGAAGGTCGACTCTGCCGTGCAAGGCTTAGGAACATCACCACCAAAGGACAGCAAGGTGGAAAAGGTCCTGGACAGCAAGCGCCGACAGAGCTCTGTTGGTGCACCAGGAGTGTACAATATTAAGGACCTGGGTAAGCATCGCCCACTCTACTGCGCGGCCCCTCCCCACAGATCGTTAACCTATCTGCTACAGAGGCCGAGGGCAAGGAAATCGAGCTGCCAATTGAGACGCAGAAGACCGGATGGTTAGTTCTCCTTGTCCGTTGCTGTAGCAAACCGCTGATACTGACTTCCGAGATATAGGAAGATCAACAAGAGTTCTTCCACCGTGGAAGACCCTGCCATCCTGAAGATCCCTCTCACCACCCCCCCGGTCAAGAAGATTGACCTGCACTTCCCCCTCGGAATGGAGGTAACAGCACGAAATCTCAAGGGCGTCACGATCAAGGACGCCCTGGATGCTATCTACAAGGCATACAAGAAGCGGGTAAGTCTTAACACTCAAGTTGATGTAGAAATCTGCCATAATTAGTATGCACTGGACGCTAATGCATTCTCCACTTATACAGTCCGACGATGAGCTCGACAATCCATACCTAGCCGGGTTCGAATGGGACAAGGAAGAGTCCTGGACACGGTTAGTCGTGCACCTGCAGAAGCAGCCCACGTCGTCCATGCCCTCAGGTAGCGGCGGCGGCAAGAAGAAGAAGAAGAACAAGGACATTGAAGAGTAATGATCCTTTAATGAACCATAATATCTGTATCCAGTAGTTTCCCCGATTTGTTTCTTGTTTGGCTTCGCTGGGATCGTTGCGAGTCGGCGCATGGGATATTGCGATTTTAGATATTCTTGGCCGGGTCATCTGAGCGGCTGCTGGTAAGCGTCGCCTAGCTGTATTTCCCCTCTCGTCTGCAAGGCTCCTTGCCAACGGACTTGACGAAATTGATATCATGGTCGAATGACTAGTGATAACCAACTCACTTTGTGCCTTTTCATCTAACCATGTACTGATTTGATGGATAATATTGAATGCAATGTGTGTAGTTGTTGGTGCGCAGAGGGTTGCCCTACCGATAAAGCCATGTAAGCGGGTGACGTGCAATGCGGTAAGTCGACGTCACCAACATCGAATCCCGACAGGAGATCAAAATACCTGGTCACCCAAATATCCAAACAAATAATCCGGAAAACTATCGTAAAACACACAATTTATTCCAGTAGCTGCTACGTTGAGGAGGGGTAGTAGATCACACAACTTAAATGCCGAGAGCGGCGTCCTGGTGCGCTGCCCTGGGGTGGAGCTCTGTATCTCGGCTTAAGGAAATCGATACGGCCAATTCCACCAGCAACTGCATGTCGTCTTTTTCAGTCAAAGGCATGGGTGAACCATAGATTCTGGGACTATTTCGATGGTTTCATCGACCCCGCCTCCGCATCCATCTCCACAGTGAGCGAGAGTAGCCTTGCGCGGAACCAATCCGAAACGGGCTTATCCACGGCTACTCTCGGGCCGCCAAGCACGTCGACTGGCTCGCTCCGATTCCGATTCCTGCAGAAATGGTTGAAGTCACAAACCACCCGAGCGAGAGGGGAGAGGAGGGGAGCGCAAGAGAGGTTAGGTGTGATGTACTGAATAATATTTAAGCCTCCGGCTTTCAACGTTTGTCGTCGGCCACCATTCCTCTCATCACACATCCCCAGCTCACGTCTATTAACCAGCGCCGTCAATATTCTGACATCATGCCGGTCACCAGCTTTAGTACAAAGGAGAAATACCGATACCAGAATGGCTTTGATAGCCACTTAGAGTAAGATGGCCAGGTGTATCATGGAAATAATGAACGCTCACAACCATCAGGTCCGAGGCCGTCGAGGGTTCATTACCCATCGGCATGAACTCACCTCAAAAGCCACCGTACGGTCTGTACGCCGAGAAGCTGTCAGGGACTGCCTTCACGGCGCCAAGGCATGAGAACAAACAGACATGGCTGTACAGAATTCTGCCTTCTTGCGCCCACCCTCCGTACGGCCCGGCGACCACCGGAGTCAACCCGGACGGCGTAAACCAGTGGGGCAAGGATGAGAAGCTACACTATATCCCCAATCAGCTGCGTTGGGACCCCTTTGACCACGATAGCTCCAAGCATCTCGACTTTGTCACGGGGCTTAGACTAGTGGCTGGCGCCGGCGACCCGGTGTTGAAGCAGGGAATCGGCATGTTTGTGTTTGCCGCTGGGAAAAGCATGGAAAAGACGTCTTCCTTTTACTCGGCCGACGGCGACCTGCTGATCGTTGCACAAGAGGGTGACCTCGACATCCGAACAGAGTTTGGCTGGATCCTGGTCCGACCGATGGAGATTTGTGTTATCCCCAGAGGTGTCAAATACCAGGTCTTCCTCCCGTCGGGTCCTGCCAGAGGCTACGCACTTGAGCTGTACCAGGGACACTTCGTCTTACCGGAACTCGGACCAATTGGATCCAACGGGCTGGCGAATGCCCGCGACTTCCAATCCCCAGTGGCTTGCTTCGACGAGGACTGCGGCTCACTGGCCTCGGAGGGCAGCGTCCAGCACACCGTGACGGTCAAGTTCAACAACGCCCTCTTCGACACAAAGCAAGCCCACACGCCCTTCGACGTCGTGGCGTGGCACGGCAACTACTACCCCTACAAGTACGACCTGGGCCGCTTCAACACGATAGGCACCATCTCCTACGACCACCCGGACCCGTCCATCTTCACCGTGCTGTCCGCCCCCTCCCCCGTGGCGGGCACGGCCGTCGCCGACTTCGTCATCTTCCCACCGCGCTGGCTCGTCGCCGAGGACACCTTCCGCCCGCCCTATTACCACCGCAACACCATGAGCGAGTTCATGGGCCTGATACAGGGCGGCTACGACGCCAAGCGCGGCGGCTCGGGCG